AGAAATTCTCCAAATAGGGCTTGCAATCAATGATGGAAACTATGCTGATATAAATGTGAGGAAATGTGCTTAATTACATTGTTAATGGAGATTTTGTACAGCTTTCTATTGAACATTGATGTGTGGAAGGCATGCCTCACCTCTGAATTGCAGGTATGGTGGCTGTAAGTTCTAGAGCTTTATTCATCTTGATTCAAATTTATGGCCCTACAGAAATAGGTTTTGTTTTTTAAAAAACAATGCAGAGCTAATCAGTTTGTAATCGGCTGTGAATGAGTAAATATAATGAAAAGTTGCTGTTGTGGGCATGTTGAGGTGTCCCCAGATAATAGAAGTAATAAACCTTCTCCCTCAAAGTGGACTCTAACTATGGGAATCAATAACTTAAGAAAAGTTTCTGCTATCTGGTTTTGTAACACAATACATTCATTGGACAGCCCTTTGATTCCCAGCTGCATTGACTTCATTTGACCTATATGTTATAAATCTACTCTCACTGGTGCCAACAGGAAATTTCTTGAATCTTTTTTTTCCCTTTCACCCAAATAGACTGTTTAATGGTGAGGCACAGAAGAGCCAGTCATTCCTGAGCTCCATATTCATGAAACGCTCTCCATAGATTGAGGGTTAAGCATAATAAATACTTCTTTCTGTCAGAATGGATTTTATAGTTAATGGATAGATAAATTAAAATGCTTTTCTATATTAATCTGGGGGCCACCTTGTCAAATAAGGAAAATAACCTCTCATCTAAAAATCTAAAATCGGTTCCTCTTATTTGCATTCAAAAGTACTTGTGTATGGTTTTTCACATCGCACCCAGTGACGTAATTTTAAATGCAGAAGAGCAGCACTAGCATGGCTCTTTGCAAAAAAACAATTCACTGTGTTCTTTTTGGGGTTTTGTCTTGCTTGTCTCTCTTTGTTTTGTCTTCTTTTTACTTAGTTTGTTTTGGTGTGGCTAGAAAGGGAAAGATGTTGCATTCCAGGCGTTAACAAAGCAAGGTATCACCTCAGCTGTGACATTTGAATGCGTTTTCATTAAACTTACCATTCCTTTTAGAGGACTCTGCAGGAAGTGAAGGAATTCCAGAGACATTTGTTTCTTTTATCATGCTAATTTATATTACTAAATGTTCCTGGATTTATTTGAACTGAAATTCAGCCACGGGCGCTTCGTAATTGTTTTTAATGTACTGACCCACTGACCCAAGGCTGTGATATAACATTCCTAACAGTACCTACAGTATAAGGACACAAAACTGAATGACTCAAATTTTATAGTTTCCTTCCCTCAGGACCATTTAAAATTGGCAACCAGCTGTACTAATTTTCTAATACTGAGATAAGGGAAATGTGGTAAATGTATCAGCTTAAAGTAACATTTTGAAATCCAGGAAAGTAAAGTTATTTTTAGTTATTAACACGATCCATGGTTAACGCCGCACACCAACCCTCTTCTAACTGTTATGGTTGTTGTGACCAAATGTCACAAAAACAATCTAAATTTCACTGTTAAATGTGGCAAGATTAAAATAAAAAAAGTACTGAGACAGAGTTCAAATCCTGTCCTTTTGAAATGTGTTGGTACTGTGGAAAAGATAGCTGAGAAGGTCACTCATTTTTGTGTGTGAGTTCTTTCAAGTTGTGTGACTGCTCAATGAAGATTCATTGGCAAAGCACTGCTTACTTGCTTCAAGGCCTTTCATAGTGTGCACCAAGCAAGTCTGGGCAACAGCTGCATACCTCTGATACCGGCGTCACCCTGCCTGGTTCACAAACATTTTACATCAAAACCAGAAAAAGCCCTTTGTTTGGACTCCACAGAGGAACCGTGCTTATCAGCAAGATCGTGGGAGACAACACAGGTAAGAATCTTCTGGAAACTATCAAAAGAGAGTAATTCTTGTTTATTACATTCTATGTATACATATTTGTATGTATGTAAAAAACCTTCTATGAGCTTTGCCAAGGCAGGCACAAGCATGCGGTCTGTAAGTGCTGTTACTGTGTATATTGGGGTTTAAGATGGTGGCCTTAATGCACATAGTCTGAAGGGCATATTCAGGTTTATTCAGCCAGACCACTTCAGCCATGAAAACTTGTTATTTTCATCAACTGAGTTTGGCTGTTTTTTTTTTCTCTATTTTGAATCCCTTACCGGGAAATATGTATTTACTGTGTTCGCCAGCTCAATCCCGAGAAAGTAAACATTGAAAAGGGAAAGGAAAAATTATCCTAAAATTATATAAGTTGTTTTAGGGCGTTATTTTTTGTTTTTGATTAAGACAACTTTAATTTATTGTAATTTCTGAAGTACAGAGTTAACAGAAAGAGACCAGACAAGTTGCTCTTTGTGACAAACACCTTCTGCCACCTCACATGCACAAACCACACTTTATACATGTAGAAGAAACTTTCAGTAATTCACGACCAAGAAAGGAAAAACAATTAAACAACAATGAGGGCAACAGATACACTGCATACTGCCAAGATCAAAAGACTTTTATCTCCACATCATAATATTGCCATTGTTATATTACTTCCTCCAGGCTATCTTTCAATAGCTTCAATTTGAGTGTGTTTATCTAGAGACCACAGATTACACAAATGTGACAGAAAACATTCAAACTGTACTGTTAACCCACTGTGTTTTTGAAATTCAGTTTTTCTTTATTATATTTCTAGAAAGATATGCAGACTGCTATACTTATTTTTAAGGATGGCACATTTTCCAAATTGTAAAAATGAGCTTTGTGAGTCCAAGTCTTTGCTCCGTTGCTCAGACACATTTTCACATTGGTGCTACTCTTTCTTGGAAACTGGTTATTACCTCGGCAAATGGGAACCTGTATTTACTATATGCATTAACAGAAAGAGTTAACATCAACTAATAAAAACATGTAATGGAGATCTTTGGAGTTCCATGTGAGTGGTTATCCTGAGGTGCATTCCGAAGGTGTTAGAAGCACCTCAGAAGTGCTTTAATCTCTCCAGCAGTAAAAGAGTTTTATGGGCTGCTTTGAAATTCTTGCAGCATGCTGTTTCCAGAGACCTTTGTCTTAAGCACCATAACCATGGTGAATTATAGAAACTCTTCCAAGGTAGAAAAATCAGTCAATAAAGAAAGATAGTTTGGAAGTATCACCAAAAAACAAATTTCATAAACAAATTTCAAAGTTATTTAGGGACTTATATTACATCTTTCTTGCAGTCCTACTAAAATATATGCTTGTCTGTTAATTTATTATGGTTTCCTTATGAACGGTATTATAATATGGCCTTTTGTAACTATGCTAGAACAGAATGAGAAGTACATCTGTTACCCTGACATATGTTGTAGCTGATACCCCAGCTGATATCTTTCAGGAAATGGCTGGATGAGATTCTTGGATCACATAGCTACAAGCAGCCAAATGTGTTAGATGGGCACAATCCTGTCGTTTGTAACCTCTCTTATGTTCCGATGTCCACTTAAAGCCCATATTTAATATTAAAAAAGCAATATTAAGTCATAAATGCCATTGGTGATTACATTTCCTTATCCAAACCACATCTGCAGAACAGCAATTAAACATTAATCAAACATTAGTTTGTGGTTAAGTGAATCTTTATAAATTATAGTTTTATTATAATGTGTTAGCGTTTTCCCATTGCCTTTACATGAAATGCTTGCTTTACACAACATGACAGGTGATATACTGTATATGAACTGCATGGGTTGCGTTATTCACAGTTGTATACATATCATGATTCCAATCAGTGCAGAATTGCCTCACGGGTTCACTCTCATAATGCTACAGCACAACTAATCCACCTTCACTGAAACACTGTGCATTTTGAAGTAGGTCATCAGAAAAAAAAAGAAAGTGACAAAGGATCAGTTCATACTAGTCTGTTGTTATGATGTTTTGGAATATAATTATTTGAAAGAATTGTTTTAAACTGTTATTAGATGCAGGGATTTACATATGCCTCCTTGTCTGTAACAATCATATGAAAAATCGTACTTCAGAACTTCCATGCCATTGACCCAGTATGGTGACCTGGGAAACACTCAGGAGGTGTGGTTCTTCAAATGGGATCTTAAACTGCAGACTTGGTTATTAAAGATGCCATGACAATCTTTGCACAAGTAGGGGTGTTAACCCCAGCTGTCCAGAATTAATTCCACTCTGGTCTTCTTAAGCCCCCCCTTGATTCAACTGGTAAAGCAATTTCTCTCTAATCTGCTCAATCTGCTGTTTAGTGGGGCTGCTGGTGTATGATGGCTGCTATGCATCACCAGATGGATGCTGCACTTCACTCGTGAAGGAAGTGAGTCCCCTCCCATAAGTAAGACACCTTGGGATTCTTTGATTAAAGGCCATTAATTAACATCTGATTCTTATGTCTCCTTCTGAAATATAAACCTTGAAAATCCAGGAGCATCTACAAAACACAAGGAGCAGTATGGATCCTGGTGACAACTGGATCCCTGAGGACGTGGCCCGGTGGTTGGCTCATATTGGAATCCACCATTGCTCCAACAGTCTCAGAGGTGAGCACAAGGCCGATGATAATATGTATTTATACAGATGAATAGATAGAAATCCCTACTTCAGGCCCATGATAGCTATCCTTTTGTTTTTACCTGACATTGCCAATATGGTTTAAGTTAAATTTATAGGATTTTCAGGATGGTATGCTCAATGCCAGGTTCAACCACTGAGAAATATAAAGCTAGATATATCACAGTATATTGAAATTTGAATATACCAAACTTTAATTTTAATTTTAATCTGTAATGCCAATTTGCTCTATGTTAAATTCAGGTTATAAGTGTCTTTTTGCTGAACAATATTACAGGAGCAGCTCTAATGTATTGGATACACAGATACGTTTTTGCCAGCAATGTTATTTTCATTATTTGCAGATAATGAAATGGAACATCTGGGGAATCAGTTTGCCGTGGATCAGATAGGTAAGTCAAATTTGTTCTTTTAGGCTGAACCACTTTTTAACTGAAAGTGCACAGCACCTTCCTGAACTGCCTGGTGTGTACGGTGTTTTAAGCAAGAAATAATGAACACCAAATAAATTTACGTACACTGTACTTGCACTTGTACTGTTGTACAGTATGCAACCGGATGATAGTGTTCGGCTTGTAAAGTATTACAGCTAATAAGTAACACATAACACACAATCCTATCCATTTAAAACCAGCTGTCTAAGGACATTGAAATCCAAATGACGGATGGCAATACAAAACAGATTCAGTGGACATTAGGACCATGCGGTAGAATGGCAAAACTCAGATGAGCTCAAACTTCATCGGCTTTAAGACCCAGCAGGCTGAATAGCGGGTCTAGCTGTAGGTAAAAGTTAGGCATTCTTCTCATTCCACTATGAATGGATCTGATTGTTGTTGGTCGGGCTATCCTTCTCCGCTCTGTCTAGATAGAACCGTTTTCAAAACGTTATGCCAGGCACATCTTCAAGGAAAGTATTGATCGAATTCTGCGTACATTATTAGCGGTGCTAGAGAAGACAGATTGTGCGATTCACTGGACTATTGAAACGTTTCGAAAACTGCTGAAAGAAAAACGTAAAAAGGGTAAGCCTTTCAGAAAGTTTATTTTTCATGCATAAGATCAGTATTTTGTTGTTGTTTTATTGCTCCTGGGTGTCATTAGCTAACGCTGACTGGAACATATCACATGTTATTTCTGCGACTTCATTATACCTAAAAAGGCTACAGTGTTGTTTTTTTTTATGTTGCGGGGAAGTCAAGGCTACAAAGGCAACAAAAAGAAAAAACCGCAGTTTCCAATATTTCAGTGAACTCGAATTGTCAATTTGTATCCCATTGTTCGCAGCAGCTAAGCTACTGAATTCAAGTTATATATTTTTCAGCAAATATTAAGTGTTTAATTTTCATCAGCAGGTTTCTAGAGAAAAGCTACATTCTGTACTGACGATTCATTCTCGTCCATTTTAATGGTAGAATTTATTGAAACAACCGATTGTATGACTTATTATTAATAATAAAAAAATAGAAATAGTAACTACTTTATTGAGAGTTAGACTGTGCCCTTCGTGCCGCTGAAAGTGAACTTTTCTGTGTCTGTCAATAGTATGCACTAACTCTGCTAGGCTTTTACTGTACTATGATAGCGTACTGTTGAGCTGGTCTTCTCTTAGGGGCTGTGTGTATTGAGGAAAAGAACTGCAGCAGAATTTCTTTGCATTTATTATTATGTTGCTGTAATACAGAAGAACATTCTAAGCTGTTCCGTGATTTTTTTTAAATGTTTATTTCGGCATCCAAATTCAGAACATTCGGTCGTACTAGTTTATCTCCTGATTTCGTCAGAATGTAATTGCCCAAAAATGTAATCTGCATTTACGTATTAACAGCAGATTGTTTTCCAAAATCGGAGAAAAGTACAATCGTGTCCATGCTGATAAGTCTCTTGGTTTTCAAGTATTTAGCACAAGAATTTGTAGTCCCAGTTTCAACATTTATTGGTTTTTGTGCGCTTGTTGACTTCAGGTTAAAGATTTTTTTAGATAAAGTTGAACACCTTAAATATGTGAGCTGTTTAAAAGCTGGAAGAAGTCCTGGATGCACTGTAACCTTAATTCATCTTTAGGCTTAGGTATGTTTAAGAGCAGATGGTATCGATGTAACCCAGTTTACTAATTTGTTTTAATTCTGCATTCCATAGTAATAAAGATGATCTTATGTCCTTTTTATTACATTTTCATTTGTTTCCAAATAATTTAAGATAACTCGAATGGTTTCCGAAATCTTAAATAATCTAATGAAATACACCGAAGACGCTTTACATTTCAATAGCTCTGACAAGTTTACTTTATTTTATACTCTGAAATAGTGTCACTGGGTGGTGGAATGTTCCTTAGTAGCTTTTGTTTCAACTTTGGTATAATGCGTCGGAAAGTGCTTAAAACCTAATTTGTGGCCAAAATGTGTTTTTCAGAAACACAGTATTTGCTCATAGTTTTGGTTGTTTCAGGACCTTGTCTTTTTTCTAGACATTTAACGGGAGATGACAGCCATCTGCCTTTTTGTGGAGCGTCCCTTGTGTAGTTAGAAGTCCGTCAGTGATATTTAACCACCAAAGGATTCACATTAAGACCTTGCTTCATTGCGACAAGGGGTCCCTCATTTTTATAAAAACTAAAAGTGTCGTCATTTAAATAAATAAAACCACTTTTGTAATGTAATAACTCTTTTGGCAATACTCATACACACCTTGGGATTTTAAAATGTAATTTTAATTTTTGACTTGGAGAGTACAAAATCTTCAAGAGGTTTGCACAGGAACATTTAATTTTTAATTTGAACCCCCCAAAATAGACTATCAGAAATTTAAGTTATCCACATTATACTATTCATCTCATGGAGAAGATCAAAAAGAAGACTGAAAATACCAGAACTTTAGATTTATATTATGCTTTTATGAAGTAATGTCTGGTTTATTTGATGTTTCTGACCCAATTAAAAGAATGTGAATTGCTGTAAATGTGCTCGGCAATGGAAGATTTTTTGCTTACTCCACACTGGTCACATAATATTTTCTCAGGAAAGGACAGCCTTAAAAACTTCTGTATCCCTGCTCTCATCAAGATAAAACTAATAAACATCAATGAATAAAAAAAAAGGTCATTGAAATCATACCTGATCACAGAGAGGCCAGTTTAGACCTTCCATGGGCATCTTCTAGGGTATATCGTTGGATCACCAAAGCTGGAAAAAGCACATCTTCTAATTAGAAAAGGAATACCACATGTAATACTTTGTATCTTTTCATAAACATTAAATAATTCACTTCCATGCCGTTTTGTTGAAGAAAAACCCTTGTAATTTGTTATGTTCAAATGTAAAGGTGCCTGCTCTGCTCTTGTCACTGCTTTGCCAGTCTTGTCACCTTCAAGTGGGTTTGCTGGTGCGATGCATCAAGACGACGATTCCCTACAAAGCAGATGCTAAGAAATATCAAACTGACTGCAACAATACTGAGTCACTGACCTAGAGGTCAAAGGCATCACATTGCCAATGTACACACCTTCCCCCCATGTGCATTTCCGCCATCCATCGAGGTGAATGCATCCCAGATAGGAAGGGTTCATGCGTGGCTCTGATGCCCAAGACCTTTGCAGTTTTCTCCTTCGTCTGCCTGTCTTCAGCTGGAGTAACGCCAGAAATCAGTATGTCCCACCACTGCCATAAGATACACAATGTGAGAAGTCATTAATGATTAGGCCTTATTTATGCACAGATTTGCATTTAAACAGAATGTTGCATCGTGAAATGTGCTTTTAAAGTAAGGCTCTTTTTTATATGAATACCTGATGGTGGTTGTTGTTTTTGACACACAATAATAGAAATGATACATAGTGTAAGGAGGAAGAAGAAGAGGACTTTTTGGGGCTAAAATCCAAATCTAATGTATATAGAGGAAAAAGTTACCCACCTGTAGATCATGTATCAAGAACAAAGCTTGAGGGCAGTATTCTGTTCAACCAATAATTTCTTATAGCTATTCAATGAAAAACCAACATTGAGTAGTGTGCTGGGACTTTGCATTGGGCAGATGGATTGGTGTTTTGATTTAGTCAAGCTCTAAAGTTTTTTTTTAATGCCTGACTTTGTTTCAACAGAGTCAAATAAGGAATTCTCATCTTCATTTTTTCTGATGTTATTAAACATAAAGTGCTCTGAGGGTTTTTGTGCTGGGAGTGATCACACATGTCCTGTAGCTGCTAAAACTCTGTACACATCCTGAGGAACTTCAAGTCATGAGAACCAAGAGCCTGTGTCACATGCTGCCCAATTTACATGGTATGGTTTTATCAGACTGGTCTGTTTCCAATTGTTGGAGAAATTTCCCCTTGATGACAATAATGCCAGAAAACCAGTAATGTTTCTACTGTAGGTAAATGAATTGCCATGTTACCTTACTCTATTATAATTTTTCTTTTTCACATTTTTTAGAAAAAATTATACAGAGCGTATGTGCTACTTACACGGTTTGGAATTTGTTTGAAATCTTAGTTCAAGATACCCAAGCTGCGTTGTGACTAAATTCAGTATTGAAATTGTTGTGTTGCAGTTTTTATTCGTTTCTAACTGTTGCATTGCAGTTTACAAGTTAGAACAAATGTAAATGAGAATAGGTGGAATCATGTTAAATACAATTCTGTTTTGTGTGGCAACGTCTACAAGTTTGATGTCGACAGGGTACTCATTCCATGAATACATCCATTTTCCAACCGCTTCTAACAATTCAGTGTCATGGGGGGAGCCAGAGTCTAACCGGGCGAGCAACAGGTACGTGGAAGACCCAAACACAGATATGCACACACTCACATTTGTGCACAACAGCCAATTTTCCAAGAAGTCATGTAACGTACCAATATGTTCTTGGACCACGGGTGGAAACCGGAGCACCCAGAGGAAACACAAAGTGAACACACAAACTATTTATGAAAAATGAATAAACACAAATATCATGAATAATAATATTGATAATAGAGCTAATTGCCATTATCATCGGATATCAGTAAAGGGAGACGGATAAGAGAGTGCCGTTGGCTGCCAAGCAACTAATTACTGCAAAAAGAAAACTAGCCCTTTCTGGACCTCTGTTTGTTCTCCTGTATGGATTTTCACTCAGCTCTGAATGTGTTAGTAATTGTTTATATTAGGTGCAGGCCTGCTTTATGGGCATGGAGCTTTAGCATAAGTGGGCCTGTCTGTTAATATCTGATTTCACAGGTCACTTGTTGTTTTGTATGGTTTCCAAAGGTAACAGTCCCATAGTACAAACTAACTTTAACTAACTGTGGTCACAGCCCCTTGATGAGCAGTACTATCTTTAAGGAAAAAAGAACTCCAGTTCTTGTGTTGAATTTGTTTGATAGTGCTTAGTTCAAGAAAACGTGTCCAGTTTAGCACTACAGTGAATCAGTCGGAAAACCTCTTCTTTGTTCTGCAGGTTCTCCTGGCTATCACAGTCTGCACAGTCCTCTTGGCATCCTGGATGACTTTGTCTATTGCTATCCTGAGCGCACCACATATACAAACAACCATGAACCCTCCTCTTTAACAGCAGAGTTCCTCACCAGAGGAGAGAGGGAATCAGGTAAAGAAAACAAACAAGGCACTGCCAGAATAAATGAAATTTGTTCAGAAACCACATCTTAAGCCATTTCTCTATGTTCAATTTTCTTCTCTTATAACATTATACTGTGTTTTTCCAACAGAGATGCAGATCTTGGTGTATCATTGCTTTTTAGGGTCAACCATCTTGATGACATTGACATTAAAGGCATTTCCAAATCCGTAAACTGCAAATCTCCATCAGGACTCGTTACTTTGCTGAGGAAAGGAAGAATTGTAAAAATGGCTGCTACCTCTATTGTTTGAATGATGTGACTTGTTTGAATTAGTGATGTTCTTTACAGCTGAACTCATGTCTGATTTGCGTGCAGGTGAGGAGCCCCATTTCAGCCTCTGTCCTGCGCCAAGCTCCCTCAGTCCCCCAGAGTGTGAGATGAGAGGTTCTGAGGACGTGGCCTCTGGTACAGTATTGCAGCGCCTGATGCAAGAGCACCTATGGTATGGTGGCCATCAGAGCGACAACGTGAGCCTGCTGGCCATGCAGCAGCAGCAACCGCCACTGCAGCTGCCGTCGCAAGCCCAACCTCCACAGCAGCCGCAGCAGCAACATCAGCACCAAGCCACAGGAAGCACCAGCCTCTCCCCGAGCAACGTCACCAGTACCTTTTCTTCCACCGAGAACCTCCTCCAAGAAGACCCACAAATGGTCCACCAGTCAGCACGGCAGGAACCCCAGGGGCAAGAGCATCAGGTGGATAACACTTCCATGGAGAAACAGGGGACCCGGCCCCTTCAGCCGCAGCAGAACAACGAGGAGCTGCCCACCTACGAGGAAGCGAAGGCCCAGTCACAGTTCTTCCGTGGCCAGCCCCAGCAGAGCTCCATCGGCTCGGGCTACTACGTGCCCTCTGGAGCAGCTCCCACCTCCAGCGCTGCTGCCACCCAGAAAGCCAGGACGGAAGGGAGGGCGACTGTGAACCGGTCCGGCACGGGGCAACCCCACAACGATGAAGCCCTAAAGTTGCTGAAGGAGGGCCACGTGCGCTCTCTCAGCGAACGGATCATGCAGATGTCCCTGGAGAGGAACGGGGCCAAGCAGCACCAGCAGGGATCTGGGAGCAGCAGCCTGCCGTCCCAGAGCACAGCCAGCAAAGGGTTCAAGAGTGGAGGAGGGGTATCGGCTCCTTCTTCTTCCCAGCCGCCTTCGGGAAAGGGAGGGGACCCCAGAGGCCCCCCTCCCGAGTACCCCTACAAAACAAAGCAGGCCCTGTCCCCCACGAGCAAGCCTCTTGACACTGGGCACTTCTTCAGCGACCAGCATTCAGGAGTGATGCTGGACTTGCCCAAAATGTATCCTGCACCTCAGTCGATGAAGACGGAGGTCACCTTCGTAAGATACCAACCACCTCCGGAGTATTGCACAAGGTAGGGGCCTTCTCTTCTCTCATCTGGTTAGCTTCACTGTAATTACAGTACCAAAAATCACAGATAGGTTTTTCACCTTAAACCTGCGTAGAACAGCAAAAAGAGAATTTAACAGAGTTCAGTTGTTTTTACAGTAGGATACACTGATAGTTAAAATGTCAGGTGTTTCTGAGCAAGATACAAAAGTACTAATTACAGGTAAATGGTCAGTGTTCAGAACAGCACATATTTTTTAAGCAAATGTACACACAGGAGATGTATTGAGTTAAAATCTTATCAATTCTTGCTTCAGTTTTCAAAGTCATCTAACTTCTGCCAATTTCCCATTTCTGTCTTTAACCTAAAATAATAATTGCTGTTTGACATATAAGGAGTTTCTTTTATTTAAGGCATTTAAAGGTTAATACATCAGAACAAGGCAGAAATAAAGTATTAAGGCCTTCTCTAAACTATAACAGCCTTATATGTCAAAGCTCCCTCCCAAAGTCTTTTAAAAGAAACATTCTGCCAGAGTAGAGTATATTGCTTTTATAGCTTTTGTAGCACTTGTTTTATTTCTTGGAGTATTGGATATAAAGGGGAGGAAGAAATGGCAGTTTATATAACCTCAGACTAAATTTCAATAAGTAGCCTATTGATCTTCAGTCTGTCTCCATAGTGTATTTACAGAGGATCAGAACATGTCTAACAGAAGAGCTGAAAATCTGCAGATCTCTGCTCCTCACAAACACTCCTGAAATGGCAAGACTTTCTCACGGTCCAGTCATAATTATAGCTCAGGATAAAAAAAGAATAATATAAGCAATTCTAAATGCTTTCTGCCTGAAGAGAAACAGTATACCATGACCTGTGTTTCTGACATCTTGTGACTGCATTTTAAATCTGCTGCTATGTTTTAGTCCAGTTCACCATTCCTGTGGACTAGCTTTCCATAAGCACAATTTTATTATGCAGTATAAGCATTTCCTACATTTGCGAGTTATTTTATCCTGAGTTGTAAGAGAACCCTTATGCATATCAAAGCCGGAAATGAGAGGTAAAATGTATTTAGCTATTCAGTGCAGTAAACCACAGTATGTATTTTTAATTTGTGCTAGCAACTTTATTTTGAAGAGAAAACTGTTAAGAGGTTATACAATACCCTGAAGCTCTAGGAATGCTATAAATCAAAACTGTTTCAGAATATAGCTAGTTAGTTGTGAGAATAGTCCAACATGGAGACACTAGGAACCGCCCACCCCCATGATCCAAGATATGTTGTTTTAAGAAGATGGAATTGTTGATTACCCATAAACCACTGGCACAGATAGACATGCATTGATGCCAACAAGAAATTTAGCACAAGAACAAAAATCAAAAAGTCAGGTTGTGGGAGTCTGGAACAAGCTGCCCGGCTATGTTGTCAATACATTGATGCAGTGACTTTTTTCAAGAAATGACTGGATGAGATGCTCTAATCAATTAATTACAAGCAACAAAATGGGTAGAGAGAGGGCGGAATGGCTTCTTCTCATTTCTAATCTTTTTTAATAATAATAATAATAATAATAATAAAAATTATTACTATTCCTTACACTTATATAGCACTTTTCTGGACACTCCACTCAAAGCGCTTTACAGGTAATGGGGACTCCCCTCCACCACCACCAATGTGTAGCCCCATCTGGATGATGCGACAGCAGCCATAGTGCACCAGTACGCTCGCCACACACCAGCTCTTAGTGGGGAGGAGAACAGAGTGATGAAGCCAATTCATAGATGGGGATTATTAGGAGGCCATGATTGATGAAGGCCAATAGGAAATTTGGCCAGGACGCCTGGGTTACACCCCTACTCTTTTCAAGAAACACTCTGAGATTTTTAATGGCCACAGAGAGTCAAAACAGTCAGTTTTACGTCTCATTTAAAGGACAGCGCCTTTTTACAGTATAGTGTCCCTTTCAATATACTGGGGCATTTGGACCCACATAGACCACAGGGTGAGCACCCCCTGCTGGCCTCACTAACACCTCTTCCAGCAGAGACCTTAGTTTTTCCTAGGAGGTCTCCCATCCAGGTACTGACCAGGCTCACACCTGCATAGCTTCAGTGGGTTGCCAGTTATGTGTTATACAGGGTGATATGGCTGCTGGCAAACCTTTTTTTAACCTTTTTCAAGAGAGCCAGTTCTGAAATCCTGCATCCATGCGTGTGGTTTTTGCCTTTGCTCTCCGGCGTTAAGAAATTACACTGCTTGAACCGGTAGGCAGCAGGACGTCTTCTCCTCTTGGCTGGTTGGGTCCTTTGGAGGTGAGCTCAGCTCTTCTCTTTCCCCAGACAGTTCCAGCCCTCGCTCGGCAGCCCGGCCTCACAACAGCACAGCCCCATGTCCTCGCAGGCCTCTTCGCAGTCGGGGTCCCTGCCTCCTCCTCCTCCACCGCCATCGTCGCTCGCCCACACCAGCCAGCAGCTCCCGGGAGATGCCTTTGCCATTGTGACCCGTGCCCAGCAGATGGTGGAGATCTTGTCTGAGGAGAACACGTCGTTGCGCCAGGAGATGCAGAGCTACTGTGAGAAAGCCTCCAAGCTGCAGCGGGTAGCTATTACAGCTCGGTTGTTTGTTCTTGTTGATGGAGTTTTGCCGATCTTTCTTTTGCCCCTTTTCCCTTTCGCCATATGTAGCAGCGTCCTGTAAGTCAGATGGTATTTTCCAACTGCATTTAGAGATTTGCTGCTGAAGTAGAAAAGTACTGTATATCTGTATTTACAGTATAGTTTTTAGAAAATTACCATCAGCTTAGTATTTAAGTTTCTTTAATTTTTTAATTTACGTTTTGCCAAATCTCCAACTCCAGCTTTTCTTTTTATGACTTTCTGGTGTGGAGGGGAGCTTTTATTACTTGTTAGATCTGGCTTAGATACAGATGCGTGCCTGGATCTATCTCGCTTTCAGAGGTCGAGATAAATGATCGACAAGTGCAGATGAAAAAATAACAACCTGTCCTCCTATCGGGAAGACACAAAAAAAGTAAACCCAGGACCCAAAGCAGAAGCCTGTGAAAGGGAAAAACAATAGAAAAATGAAACTTTAATAAAGTGACACATTAAGGGTGCCATTGGAGAGCATTGGCAACCAGAACTGTTGATAAAGGGGGTGGGACTGTGTATCTCTGTGGCGTCACAAACAGCAAGTGTTGCAGAGAGTGGGTCTTGAAGGGACACTAGCAGCTCACTGGTGACTGAGTAGAAACCTGAGCTTGATTCATTGCCAGATCACTCTTCCTCTCCCATATAAAAACTTGAAACAAAAGTGTCTTTGATAATGCTCCTGCTGTCCATACACCACAAGTGTGTGGGTCTGGACTGGCAGCTATGTGTAGAGAGTCATATTTTAAACTTGCTCATCTGGAAACATAAGATAAATGGTGGATGGGGCATTTGTTAATAAATGCTTTCCAGCAGTAATATAGATGAGTGTGGTCAAAATTGAATTTCTCTCGCATAGGTTTGCATGCCAGAGTACAACATGACTAATTTACCTATGTCACATCCACAAACTGTTGCTTTCTTACCATGGTAATGTAAAAAAAGACAAGCTAAAATATAAAATTGGACCAGTTAGCATGCTTAGTATTTTTTTTACAAATATCCCTGCATAAAGGCCATTTTACACATTGAAGTTGCTTATATCACAATTATTTTTTATGCCTTACAGCTGCTTTGTACAGATTTAAAAAATGAATAGCTAAGGTAAAGATGCTTCTAAATAATGAGTTAAATCATTCTGGATGTTCTGCACTGCTAAAATATCCTGCCACTGAGCTTATTAATATCAGTAGCCTTTTCACAAATATACCAGCCCATGGTGTTCTGTAAGTTTCCAGACAAGTAATCCTGCCCTGTCGTGTAATGAGTCTGTGGTTAAGAATGTATGGGGGTGTGCAGCAGTTCACCACACAAGTAATCCCACAGAGACCATGGCTCCACACTGTGAAGGGCTGTGCTCAGTGAGTCTTGTGTTTCAGTTTGAGAAGGAGATCCAGAAGATCTCAGAGGCCTATGAAAGCCTGGTGAAAAGCTCCTCCAGGAGAGAATCGCTGGACAAGGCCATGAAGAACAAATTGGAGGGAGAGATCCGCAGACTGCATGACTTCAACAGGGATCTGAGAGGTCAGGACACAAACCAAAAAGCCTCAGGCTTCTACCCTCTCTGTGTTCAGGAGATTGTCCTGTCTAATGCATAATGCTCAGAAACCTCACAGTTCCTTTAAATTGGAGACTCTTTTATCCAATTTTAGATGACCCTTTTCATTACTTTTCCTGCCTGCCATTTGCACAAATGTGCTCATTAGAAAAATGTTCTTTCTGCTGTTCACTTCATCCCAGTTTCACTCAGAGATCACCACCATGGTCTGTAAACTAAACTCTGAAGACCCCAAAATGGCATGTGCTCAAATTTAAAGGGGGATCAAGGAATAATCTGGATGCTTCACACCATTCCCCGTATTTTCTTTTTTAATATATTTTTACTGTCCAGGTCATATTATGGTTTCCCTAAATATACCATGCAAAAACCATATGTCCTCCATGTGGTTTTGAATAATTGATTTCTTTGGGGTTTAGAGGATGGGTATTGATTTCTGATTTCTTTGTCATGTATTTTACAATACATACCAGTTTTAAAGGCTTGATCAGTCCCACATGCATGCTAGTTTAGTTTGCAGTAACATGAGGTGGTCCCAGACTGGTGATAACAGGAGCTGTAGTCAAGCTGTCCTGGGGGCTGTGTTTGAATTCCATCCTTGAGAGTGCATCTGTCTTATTTAAGAATTGTTGGCTTTATTGCATTTCCTGTTTGTGTGCAGATCGCCTAGAAACTGCCAACAGGCAGCTGGCCAGCAGGGACCTGGAGGAGAGTGAAGATTGCAGGACAGAAGGTCTTTATCTCTCACAGAGTGAGTATTCAGCTTCTCAAGATCATGCTCTTGGAATAACAGAGTTTGCGTTAATGCACTCATGTTCAAGGCTTTCTCCAGATTGCTCTTACAGTGCATTTTTTCTGGAGCTATATATGTATAATTTGTTTTTAAGCTGTGGCTGAAAAAGTGGGATAGTGCTGTAGGCCAATTGTGACAAATAAAATTAAATGAATAAAAATTAAATGGTACTACAATGGTACCATTAAGTTTTGTTTTTTACTCACAGCAGATCAGATAATGCAACACTTGAAAGCTGAATAGACCATAATCTTTGAAGACTTTTACACAGCTCACATTCAGATCATGTGTCTCATATGTTGCATTTATGTACATTGCTGGAGAAACCAAGCTATGGAATGTTTCACCGCCATTACACAACAGTAAAGATGCATTCAACAATTTGGCCATCATTAAAGATGAGCAGGAATTGTTCCCACTACCTTCATGAATTTAAACTTACTGTAAGCTCACAGGACACTTGGTTTTAGTTAAGTAAGATGGACTCACAATAGTCTTTGGAAAAAGAACAGTCTGTTATATTATGTTAATTCATCGCGTATAATATTGTTAGTAAGTCTGGTCATTTTAAATATGTGCATTCCATAGAAATGCAGTTGTATGACAGTCTGCCATGTTGGATGCACTTGAGTGTCTGCCTCAGGTTTGAAAGTGTCAAACAATATCTTCGGCCTTTACGATTCAGTGAGGGTTAGCAGTGGTCATGCCCTCTCATTCTTAGTTCTGTGGTCTATTAGAGATGGCAGCTGTAATTAATGATGGCTGTGTCCCCTGGGCAAGCATTGACTAAGAAAGAGGTAATCCCATGCCCTCTGACTGCTCAACACACTTCCTCCTGCTGCTAATCACTGATGAGAACACAGCTGGGCTGAGAGAGAATTCACTATATACAGAGAAATAAAAAAATGTCTCCACCAAAACGGAGCTGCAGATTTTTACTTTCCAAAAATGCGTACAAATGTACACAGAGCTGTTCAAATGTACAGCTCTAAAAACAAACAAAAAAATCTTTATGTTTAGAAATATAGATGGCTATTTTGGATCAAAGCTTTCTTGTTTAATTTTCACTTGGTGAACATTTAGAAAAATGTGAGTGTTCTCATAACAGTCTTTGAGTCTTGGCAAACAACACCTGTCTCTAGCTTAAGTTTATTAGGGTCGTATGGGGGCTGTCATGAATGTCTCTGTTAGTCAGAAAAGAGGCCACTTGGCTTGTGAAGTTGATGTAGACTGTGATCGTGTCTGTGTTTGAGGTATTAACAATTTTAGATATGTCAGATTGCCCAAGCCCAGAGTGAAATTTAGCCAAGACATTAGGGTTAATACCCCTGTGCTTGGCACAGAAAGGTGTCCATAGGATCTTTATTGACCAAGTAGTTAGGATTTTGGTCTAACATCTCAATCAAAGCATCCTGTCCCCTGTCACCATAGTGGGTTGTTAGGTTGGAAATTCTGGTCCGGGGGAAGACTGCCACCTACAGGTCCACCAGCACTACTTAAAGCAACATGATTTCTTTCCTGAATTGGAACTGGATTAATCTCTCAGCTAGTGCTACGATTGCAACTCTACCTTAAAATAGTCTTATCATTGCACGCTCTTTATACTTGGTGTGTCAAATGCCTTATTTGTGCATACTTGTGGGATATTCTTTCTCACGTTTACTAGTACTAATCATTATAACACATGCTAGTGTTATGACATACTGTAAGAATTAAATCTTTAAAGATTTTAAAAAAATAAAATTTGAAAAGATGATTGGAAGTGAATGCAATAGCTGCTGTTTTTAGATGCTGTCTTTAAGATGAGACTGGAATGTGACTAGCTTGTCTTGGACCTTAAAAACTAGGATTTGTAAGCCATCGTCTTCTTTGGCACTGGGCAAGATAGCCTGGGGGACAGAAAAACACTGAGAAACTCAAGAGTCCTTTCACATAAATGAAGAAGGTAACACAATTAGAGTTATTTTAAATAAGTAAGTGGTCAGCGCAGTTGTTCTTATTCTAGAACCGATTAGCCCTGCCACCAGCCAGTTCTGAAAATCGCTAAGACTAATCCTGGTATTCATCTCTCAACTCTCTGGTATTTTGCACTGTTGGCCTGAAATGCTGACTTGCTATTAGAGAAATGCCTCAAGCATGCAAGCTCACAGGAGGGGACGTTCTTACATGGCTGTGACCTACAGACTGAAGCACGACCACTCTGGCTACGCTCTGAGGCATGGTTTGTGATCTCTGTGTGCTTTTAGCCATGCACTGTGAGCCTAGAAAAATCAGTCTTTACAAAATAAATACTGTACAGCACCGTGGGCTGGCTCACAGGCGCAGATAAATAAGCCCAAGCTGTGCTATTTCATTTCTTTCTGGGTTTATGTAGGTGTAGGGCATTTCCATTAACGCTAAAGAAGCGATTCACTTTCCTTTTCTGTGCCCTTATGATACCTTAAAGGTGTCTAAAGGTAAAGTGAGATGTGTTTATCTAAATGCTCGACCCTTGTAAAGGATACCCGACAATTCCAATGCTCTGTTAAAGTTAATTCAATTCTTATGTGCTTATTACTTTCCATTGCAGACATTATGCACCATGAAAGTATTTGATATAATTTCTGTTAAGATATGGTTACTCTTCCCTTGTGCTGCCATGTGGTAGAAGCACAGATGGCTTTCCAAGGACAAGCCAGTATCTTGCTGTTACCGTATACATATTGCTCTTGATGCACCTTCATAGATTACTCCAGCTCTTGTCTCCAATGAGTCAAGATTCCTCCTCTCTGTTCTCGACTAGAATGTGTCTGTAAGGCGGTGAGATTTAAAGAATGTAAAACGGAAATACTGTATGTGGGTCTATGGCTAGGAGACAGAATTACTTTTATTTTGATGCTACATCATTGTTAAGCCAAAGAAGAGTAACCTGTAAGCAGTTGTTATCTTGCAAAGAAAGTCTTAAGGTTTAGTAGTCGGATGGTAGTTGAACCATGGCAGAGGACCAAAAGCAAGTTGTCAGTCATCACTATTTTGGAGCACCCATTCCTGTGGAGTGATAGCAGTCCCTTCATCTCCCTGGCATCAGTATGCTAACAGCTCTCCCGTCCTGTGCACCTATCTAAATTGGGTTACAGGGCATGCCGTCCATGCCTGAGAGAGAAGTCCGTGTTTTGTTAAGCTGCCAAGGCCAGCACTGTCTGCTGGCCCCTCTTTGAACCTGCTGCTGCGTTTATAGAACAAAGCGGCATGCAGGGCCGCAAAATGAAAATGTCAGCAGTTTCCTCATTTGGAATTGAGGCCTCTCATCAATGTGCTCCAGAGTCCTGATTAGAATCTGGGAGGTGCAACACTTGAAAGACATCTACTCCTCCCCGTGCCTCTTCATACTTCATAAATACACAGTTCTTCACATAGGTCCTAATTCTTGTGTAAGAATTTTGGATAACAAACATTTATGGGTTCTGCTTCTACATGAAATTCCCCTGTACTAACGTATGTGTTTAAAAATACAAACGTGCATACAGTATACAGTACATGTGGGCAGGTGCACTGGTGTGCAAAATATTGCAATATTTTTTCACATTTTTTCCTCTAAAAATAGCAATGCAACACTGTAATCAAATATCTTTAATATTGATATCACTGTGAACAAAATCAGTATATCAGAGAATCACATTTACTGTATAAAACATTGTAAAAATAAAAAACATTGCATAGTTAGAGTCAGGTATGAGTATTAACACACAACTGGCACTGTTGACTCTCAGACCTGATCAGCCTCTGGACGGAATGCTGTGGGATGTTCTGCCACTTTTCTTTTGCTACTACAGCCACCTGGTTAAGGCTGAGTACTTAAAATTGTCTCCTCTTGATGGCATTGGTGAGTTAGACCGACAGATACCCTATTGGACTATTGGACATCAAGACCTCAAATGTTTGATAGTTTTTCTAATGTAAATCTAGCTCTTTCTTGAATTGTTTTGTCCTACTGCAAAATGGACATTGCGAAATGAGCTGTAGGAAACACAAAGACTGTTAATGTATTGCTGAGCAATAATAGTCTCTTCAATCTGTAACAATGGCACTTTCCGCCATTCAGTCAGTATAACACCCACCTTGACCCATTTCATCACATTTTATCTTCTGTTATGGCCGTCAAAGTCACAGTGTCACTCTTTGGTAATTAAAACACTCTACCAGTCTCCGCTGCCGTGTTATCTGGCCTCCAGAAGATATTGATTGAGACTCTCAGCTTCAGCATGGCCCCTGAACGGCCTCTGAGTATTCAGAGCATTTTCATGCAGAGACTGAGAGCTACAGTCATTCTGCTGATGGATACGATATTTCTTCCTTGAATTTGTGGCACTGTAGCCCCTACAGTCTGAAAACAGTTATGCAGATGGATCAGATGTGATAGTCATGGGATGCCTAGTGATAGCAAGACCGTAGTCCGTGCGCAATTCTGCATTTCTGCTGATAGTGCCTGCTCTACTCTATATTCATATAGAGAAATATAATAAATATTAATACAGGGACGATTAGTGCAAGAATTATCATGTGCAAACTCATGTGAACTCCTTTTGCACTTTACAAATAATTAATTCCTGAATTTTTGGTGGTGCTGATTAGTTGGTAATGTGCTTTGGTGAATAAGATGTTTCCTGTTACTGAGGTCTCTAACAGCCTCACACCCCAGACCTGCAGGCTTTACTGGTATGTAAACTCTGAATTAACCCACTCAGCTTTTACTGGCTGTTCGTTTTTATGGTTAGAGGTCATCTGGCCCCTTGCCCACCATCTGTGGACGATTACAGCTGAGGCCTGTGTCTTCCCAGACAGGGAAGGCGTGAAGGAGAGGGACAAGCTGGAGATGGAGGTGGCGGCCTTGCGTTCAGCCAATGAGGACCAGCGGCGGCACATCGAGATCCTGGAGCAGGCCCTGAACAACGCGCAGGGCAAAGTAGTCAAGCTGGAGGAGGAGGTAAAATGTAGGCCCTTGCGTTTCCATGGTGCTGCTTAATACCCTCCGCTTGTGTTGCAGTGGCACCTGTGCATTCATCACAATGGACATTATATTTTTTTTTCCTTTTTCAATATTGTTGTGGTTTGCTGGGTTCTTTCCAGGGAGATTACTGTTTTTTTTTATCTGTAGCTCAGTCAAAGCAATTGCTAACTTCTCCCCGTTAGTCATTTAGTACTTAAGATTGTTCGTGGCCTTAAAGATAAGAAGCGTGTTGGGCGAAAAGGCCAGTGGTGGCAGTAAAGTGATCCGAGCCATGAGGCCCGGCTGGAGGTTGCAGGGCCGTGTGGGGCGTGCGAGCGCGGACTCCTGACTCCTGAGCGTGGCTATCCTCTCTCGACAGCTGCGGAAGAAGCAGGTGTACGTGGAGAAGGTGGAGAAGCTGCAGCAGGCCCTGTCTCAGCTGCAGGCGGCCTGCGAGAAACGGGAGCAGCTGGAGAAGAGGCTGCGCACGCGGCTGGAGAGGGAACTGGAGTCGCTGCGCACGCAACAGGTGAGGCCCAGCCCTCCCCCGCTCACCACCTCCACCTCCTGCTTGCACGCCACATTCCATGGGACGTCAGGACAGGGACAGGAACGAGACCGCCATTCATTTTTAATTTCAGACACCAGAGCTATCGGTTCGCGTAAGGACTCGAGATGTGAAAACAGGATTCGCCATTGTTCTTTTACTCACCTCAGAATCCTGTTTTTTTAAATACTTAGTTGTATATGTGATTGCACTTCATGAGGGACTTCATTCTCTTCTCTCTAAACTTTGCAGGTCCATCCCAATCTTGATTTCAGATATATACAGGTCTAGATCTATGTAAGAATTATTTTATTTTAAACCGAAGACAGTTATTCCAGGGCTCATAACAGTGCCCGAATCCTAGGAATGAAACAGAAACCACAGATGGTTAGTGACCAATGAGGAGGAATTATTGGTGGATAGATCTACACTTATATCCCAAAGGTCTCTTGCCAGTTTCCTTCTGCCGCAAAAGGGAGTCTCCACATTCTCTGCTTCTGAATTTTTTTATGCCTGCAATTATGTTGTCTGCTTTAGTCATAATTATAGGGTATAAATACAGAACACCAGAAAAAAAGCAAGACTAAGACTGAATTGCATCCACCATGAAAATACAATTAAATCAAACATTAAGCTTCAAAGAAAGCTTCGGGAAACTATATTAAAAGTAAATTGTTGTATTAAAAAGTGCTTACAGTAACATGTTCAAAGCGCTCCTTAGCTTCCCCCTTTAGTCTTTAATTGTTGAGTTTCTGAAATTCAAAGACTTTATAACAAAATTCCTTATCAGATGTTATATTTTTAGCCTCTGTTCATAGCATCATGTTTTGGGTTTGCACATAAAGCCAATTAAAATAGCTTAGAGAATCTTTTGTCCGTAACTGAATGCTGCTACTTTTTTTTTCTTAGCTTTGGGTGTATTGACAAATAAATAGGACATGAACAATTTTTTTACAAAAAACTAAGATTGATCAAAAATTAAGATAATAGAAAAATCAAGAAAAGGGCCTATCTGATTTTAAGTTGGGGAAAAAAGTGAACGCAGAAATCTAATGTTCACATGAAATGAATCAAAAAGTGCTCTTTACATTGGTTTTTAAATGATGCCTATCCTAGAGCAAGGCTTTCAGCCGTGCTGGGTAAAGACTATGAAGTGAATGTGGATTCATACCAGTCTCGTTTCAGTTTCAAATAATGCATCACACTGTGTAGTAGGAGTCCTTGCAGCGAGTGACTGCCCACGTTTGATTTTTGTACTGTCAGAAACCGGAGTTGAGCATGTGGGTTAGTTTGGGAAGCTCTTTTGCTTTTGTGTTATAGTATGTAACAACAAAGTGTGTGTGTGTCTGGTGGGGGGAGCCACAACAACAAAAAAAACACTTCAGTAAAGAATCAGGTGGCAAAAAAAAGCTTGAAAGGAGTTCTGAACCTCTTTGAAAAGAGAGCAGTATTTCAAACGTCCAGCAAGGGAACGCAGTGAGCTGGCGAGAACATACATTCTCGCACCTCCTGGAGCACCAGTGCTTCGATTCAGGGTCACAGTGATGGGCGCTCTCGGTGAGAATAGTCGTCCCCTCTCTCTCTCGCGTGCAGAGGCAGGGAGGAGCCCAGGCCGTCCCCCCCTCAGAATACAATGCCCCCGCGCTCATGGAGCTGCTTCGGGAGAAGGAGGAGCGAATCCTGGCGCTGGAGGCCGACATGACCAAGTGGGAGCAGAAGTACCTGGAGGAGAGCGCCATGCGGCACTTCGCCATGGACGCCGCAGCCACCGCCGCGGCACAGAGGTACAACGAGCTGGCAGAGCGCCCGGCTGCAGAGCAGTCTGCCTGGCTCACACTGTGTGGCCGGGGCTGTCTCCGCCAGGGCAAGTTTACAGTGGATGTCAATGTGGAGAAAGACACTAAAATTGCAGAATATGGAATAACCTGCCTCAGCTTATCCTTTACGTCTTGAAAATATGAAAGATCCCCAAAAATGTGAAACGGATTGAAATTTTAATGAGTAGAAAATTGTTCAACATTCTCTTGTGGCTTTCCAGTTTCCAACTTCACGGCTTTTGTTTATATGACATGCTCCTACTTGAAGTCTAAATGTGCAGCAGAGGGGATTTTCTAATAGCACGGTTCTGGCTTTGCCCATCGTCCACAGGGACACGACGATAATAAACCACTCCCGCAACGGCAGTTACAGCGACAGCTCCCTGGAAGCGCGGATCTGGCAGGAAGAGGAGGAGATTCTTCAGGCCAACCGGAGATGCCAAGATATGGAGCACAGGTAGGCAGATGCCCGAGAGACATGGAAATACTCCTCACAAGTCACAGGCCGTAGGGAGTGGAACCCACACATTTACCTCTGAAAACCGCAAGGCACAGCAAGTGAAGTAGATGCAACACCAGTCGCATCAGCGGTGATCTACCGAGGGCTAAATGGACTCGCTCTTCTCGATGCATTTTCTTATTTTCTTAAAGGATTGGCACAGCTGTGTTACTGAACACTCTTTAAGCACAACCCACGCTTAGCACAAGCCTGATAACTTTTTAAGTTTAAGTTGTAAGGTCCATGAAAAATTATGGGTCTTTTGCAAATGGTTTCTCGTTCATCTACATCAGCGAAATCACTGTAATCGGTGGATCTGAAACTCCAGCCGTGACAGGCCGTGTGGCTGTTTCTTCTCAGGATAAAGAACCTCCATGCCCAGATCATCGAGAAGGATGCCATGATCAAGGTGCTGCAGCAACGCTCCAGGAAGGAGCCTGGGAAGACTGACGCTGTACTGTTGCGCCCCGCCCGTTCTGTTCCATCCATCTCCGTGGCAACTGGCCTGCATCTGCGCCAGAGCTCTCAGACCAGCAGCCAGATCCCTGAGGAGAGGAGGGAAGACAGAGGCTGGAAAGGCAGTGCAGGTGAGGGTAATGTGATAACTAAACGCAGGTGCTGACAGGCAACCGCACTCGAAAGCCAGGACCTCACTTAAATACAGAAAAAGTAAGGAGCAGCTATTTTTTTTTTTCCAGAGATTAACCTATGTTCCTGTGCTCTTAGAAGGATATTAGCCACACATGATTAAATTACAAACATGTGGAGTAGCTAAGAGTGAACATAGATTCCTCTATTTTCTGAAAGAAACTGACCTCATAGAGAGTAATTTTAGAGCAGTACCTCATAGAGTGCTACTGAGGGGTGCATGTTCTCAATCCCAAACTATAAGGTACAGTTGGAAATATAAAAACCAAACACAAAAGAAAATACTTTTAGGCATTATGTTAAAGAACAAGGTAGGCCTGCTAAGTGGGTTGAGCTCTACTATTCTATCTTTCAGGTCTCCTCCTAGGGAAAGAGAACATGGAGCACCTCCTGCCCTCCCTCCAACTTGTCCCTGCTCCCTCCTCCCTGCCCTCCACCCCTCTGCTTTCGGGCCACATCAAGACAGGCAGCAAGGACAGCAGCACCCAGACAGACAAGAGCCCTGAGCTGCTGAGAGCTGCCCCCATATCTGGCAGGACCAGGCTGGGAACCACCCCTGGCAGCAGCCCCATTCTGCGGCACACCCTCACTAAAGGGGGCTCAGAGAAGATGGGTGAGGAAGACCTAGTGAAACAATAACGACACAGCTCTCCAGGCATTTACTTTGCTCTCTTGGCCCGTACAGAGATTGGGGTGATTTAAGGTCTTCTGTCTGACTCTGCAGGTGGGCTTTCTGTGATTGATTAGCTTTCCTCGTCACAAGCTGTCGACCTCCAGAGTTAGGCAAAAATCAAAATTCGTGATGAATTCAGATTCTAAATAAAAGAAGATACAGTATCTTGTTCATATGACTGTAAATTTAAAATTTGGGGTGAAGGGAGTAGAACTACAGTTTCACAATTTGCCTTAAAAACTCCTTTTTGTCTGGTTGAAACTATTGAAATAATTTTCTCATCTTTTGTTCAGAGAGCTCCTCAGCTCCAGTGAAATCCCCAGATAACAGACTCCTGACGGGCAGAAACGGCAGCAACCCTGGATACAGACAGGAGCTCCTGGATACTGATGTGGTGGAAATACTCATCTAGGACATGGCAAGCACTTTTACTACAAGGAATTTACACTTGGAAGCACAGGAATTTGGTGCTGGAGAACATGGAGCCTGGAGAGAGATGAACATGGTGAGAGATGTAGGGGAAGATGACAAATGTGCAAAGGTGAGAAGGTATTATTAAAGTTTTGGGGGCAAAGGATGTTGGGAAGACTGCTTGAAGGAAGCAAAACGACAAAAGGTGAAGGATCAGAATGGAGACAGCACCATGACGATGATGGAGAAAGTGAACGAGGGCATGCAGCTGGATGAAACGAAAAGACAGTTTTCAGTTGTCTTGAGAATCACAAAAAAGTAGGTATGCTTTATTTTGGCTTTCGTTTTTGTTACCGTACAAAGAAGTCTTAAATACTCTGTTCTGTGTACGAATCACTGGCAGTCCAAACTGCAGTCTGAGAGATCCAGACCGCAGCGTATTGAAAAGGGGTGGCTAAGATGGGACAGTGATGAGAGAGAGAAGAGGACTGGGATCGATACAGCTACCAGTTGGAGCTTGTGTTCAATAGAAAAAGTGAAAGCCAATTTACCAGAGAGGGATTAAAAAAGCACATGACACTTAATATTTACATTAACCACAAAGGATGATCTGAGGAAAAATGTTAGAAGACGTTGTTTGCATGTTTCACTAAGTTGCTCTTTGGGTGACAATGGGGGAAAAAAAGCTAGTCCTGTGATCAGCTTTGTTTGTATGTCTGGTTTTAAATGTGAGCTTTGTTTCTGAGGCCCTTTTGTTTCTGCCTTGCTTTCCTTAAGGCTGTTGCCCCTACTCATAGTGTGCTCTAGCATGACGTCAAAAGATCGAGGGAGATATGGCACTGATGGCTATATCAGTCTGCCATCACAATTTTGCAAGAAAATTAGAACAGCTGTTACAGCTGAATGAAGAGATCTAGCAACACGTTCAGGGTAAAGACCAGCTTGACCTGTTTCTTATACCGGCCTGTACACTGTTTCTGGTGGGTGTAATCCATTCTAGACAATTTTCAACCACCTTTTCAATTTGATTGCCCTTAACGACATTATTCAAAATGTAAGGCCAGGGTTAATAGTGTATTGTGATGCTATGTTGACCAACACAGCCACCTTGGTTTTAACCAGAATGCTGAAGAAATACAGAACTATGAGAGTCACAGTTTTTATTGCCTTTTTAAATTAAGCCATTTATGTGAGTTACATGAAGATGCAAAGGAAAATCAATTTTTGTCTGAAAAAGACCAAGGAAATTGAAAAGTTTGTTTGCTACATATATTCATCTTGTTCACTGCATTTATTCTGTACTGTTGTACATATTTTTGTGTTTGTATTTTCTTTCCTTCTCCGACTGCCTGTGAAAATCAAAGGAATACAATTTTCCCATCTGAGAGGTTAGGGCAACATGTCATAGATGGTAACAATAATTAAATTAATTTAAGAATCGGACAAAACTATCACTATCTTTCTGAGGAAAATTCTAACAAGGAAGGACACTGTACACAAATAAAGCACAAGGTAATGAACAAGAGATGTCTGATTACTATCGGGATAAGAAAATAAAATATATTTGCTATCACGGGTGAAAATGAGAAAAGAGGAGATTTAACAGGGATCGCAAAAATGGAAACCTCAATACATAATGTCTGAAAGGATGTAAGAGATTGAGAATAGTCAATGTTTCTGAACTTGATCATCTCAAATTGTTGTAGAATGTATCTACTTTTTATGTATGCCCTTTTTGATAAAACAGTGTTCAATCAGAATGCTAGTACAGGTTGGTTTCCAAGATGAATATTACAGATCACTAAATGCCTGAGGTGTGGTATATCAATGTTGTAATCCCCCTTGAGAGCTTTATCAGTGTAACTGGAAACAAACTTATTCCACTTCAAAATCAATCAGCTTTCTTAATCACGGTGTGGTGCATCTTCCAGTCTACACTTCAATGACTTCGGTTTTATGTTATTTTCCTAATTCTGGCAACGGAATGTGTGTTAAGCCAATGGTCCTGCTTCACAAAGGAAATTATTTTGTTGTATGTGGATGTCGCCTCTTCCCTCTTCTTGCAATTGTGTTTTTTTAGTTCATTCCATGTAGCTTTTAAAGGTGTAAATTAATATTGGTTTTGTGGTTCTGGGTTTGTACAGAAGAGTTGTACAGAACTGTACAGAAAGGTCAATTGTACATAAAAGGACAAAGTAATTTTCTTTCCTTGCAAATAGTGATCTTGTCCACCAAAGAGTTTCCTACATTTTGCTGCTTTTACCAGTGCCTTACAAATTGTATTGTACTGAATAAACTGCGCATGACACTCTTTTGTCTTTGGCTTCCATTGCTAATTATTTGCCCACTGTTTTTAGTCAATGCGACTTACATTTGCACCCATTAATGGAGCAGGTATTGCACTGAGGCACTCCGAGTGAAGCAGCTGTTCTCCAAATGGTGTATTAGGCAAGGAAAGGACAGTGGAAGATATGGACATATACTGCTTGAGTAATGACATTCACCATATGCTAGAGAGAGAGGTTGCCTGGAGATTGAGATCTTGTTTCAATACTCAGCTCATTAGTTCAGAGAAACCGGAAAACCAGCTCCGTGAGGACAGTAATATTCTGAAAGGCCAAATTCACCACAATTGGACCCTACATCCATCTCTTTCCATCAGTTTCACCAGTTATGGTCAGAAGCTACTCAGGGCTAGGGGTAACTCAGCCTAGCTTCTTCAAAGTGCCAGGGAAGATGGCAGAAAAGAGTGGCAACTCTTTTATTGATAGAAGAATGCCACTTTGCCATACTTGGCCGGAGACCGGGCATCCAGAGACGTTTAAGAGAGTTACGCCAATTGCTATGTTCCAACCAACTATGCCTTTTGCATTTTACTAGCTGGCTACAGTAGGGGAATAGCCCATAACAGTCTATCCAGAGACTAATTAGGTCTTGCAATGCTGCCAACATAGGGGCAGGTAAATCATATTTAATATTTGGTTTGCAACCTTTCATTTTAAGTTTCAGGTTTCATACTGAATCTTTTTAATGCATACATTTACGTTTCTGTACAGCATACAGACGTGCTGTGTTTCTTTGCTGCAAAAAATAATTGCAGCTCAAGGCTATGGACAAACCGGTTCAGACACAGGAACTGGGAAGGCATGGCTGGAAAAGGGTAGGAAGGTTGACTCCAAATTATCAGGCAGAAGAAGCTGAAGTGTTGTTAGAAAGGACAGGAGTGCATTACAAACAGCCTATTAATATAGCCAGCCCTCGCATGCCTGAATGATTCTATTAGGAAATTCCTGAATCGTGTCCCAAGGCTCTGAAAGCGTTCCGCCTATGCCTGGCATGAATGCCACCAGAAAGCTTTGCAGTTACTCTCCATACTGCTCTGCTTCCCTGCACCTGTTTGTGCAAACACAGGAATGGCTGTGTGTCAGCGAGGAGGGGAGAAAGCAGGAATTCCTTGTTCATTAACCTGGAACCCAGGCTGGATGTAGAGAAGAGACAGAATTGGGTTGTTCCCTCATCAATCCTCCCCTCCCCCCCCAACTTACTGGCCCTGCTCTGGCCATTTTTTTTTCTGTTTCTTAAAAAAAATCACCTCCCATTAGGAAGACTAATGTATTCCAGTTAGGTCACACATCAGTTACAGTTCCATTGACCATGTTGACCATCACTAAACTGGGCTCAAATCCAAGCCCCGCACTGATAACTAAGAAATCTGCATTGCAAATGATTTTCTCATATGCAGGATTAAATTCAGATCTAAACTCTTAAATTTGCTTTTGCTCTTTTGATTACTTGGTTAAAATCGATTAAAGTTTTACTGATGTTCTTGGAAGCACATCGTGAGGTCAGTAGTCTGCTCAGTTTGAAATGAAGGTTTTCCAGCCTTAGTCAATAGTAACGATAAATTAGCGTAATGCTAAAGAATAATTGATAGAAGAATGACCCATTTAACACTTACAGAGAACTGATTTTTCTCTTCAGTTACTAATTAGAAGCACAGGATCACTAGCATACCATGCCAATTTTACAGAGATTAATGTCACATACAGTATACTGCGATGAAATTTGATTGAAAGCCTCTAATGATTTTTTTAACACCTAAAAACATTTAAAACACCACAGAATTATGGCAATCGGAGGCAGTCTGCAGCGAGAGCTTGACTAGAGATCGGGAAACGCAGGGGGGCGACACAGCTATAAAAAGACGTGGCATTGCATGACAGTGAACCTAAAAAGACCCCTGGGGCATTTTCTGCTTCATACCAGTCACTTCAGCTTCCAGATGAATGAAATGTCTCACCTCATAGTTTCCACAGTACGTTTCAGCTGCATTATGTCCCTGTGACACCTTACCCCTGGAAGCTTCTGTGGTCAGGCTCGCCGCAGTGAAAGCAGATCTCACACATAGTCCAAATGTGCAGGGTTACATATGCATACTATGAGCATCATGTTTACTGCAAGGCACAGGCATGCACAACAACAGACTGACTGCTAGAAAGCTGTCACATTACATTAAATACTCCTAGTTGTTTTGGCAATATAACACTTACTCATCATAGGAGCACCATAGCAGCACCTGGATTTGGTTAAATAGAAATCAACTGATGGTCTTTTTCATGTGGCTGCAGTTGTCAGCCAGCAGACAGTCGTCTGTAGTAAAAACAAGGAGAGGGGAATACCAAAACAAACCGAAAAGGCTAAAGAAACCGCAACAGATGCAAGTCTCTAAAACAGACATTCTCTTTACGGCACTTCAGACCATAAAACAGGGTCAGAATCTCAAATACCATCTTCTTGGTATTTGAAGATTTCATAATATGTTGGATGTTACAGTGTGAAAAAGCAACAGCCACTTCAGCTTAGCAGTGTTCTACAACAGGATTGTTGAGCAAACCCCCCAAACTACATGTGTGTCTTAGGATGCCTTTATTTATTATTCAAGGCTGAACAAGCCCTTTTCCAGGTGTCTCCCATTACCTTTGAAACCACTCTTTTCTACTGTGGGATTTCCAGCCCAGGTGAGGAACCCTGCAGCAGCTCCAAACCTTTCATCGGACATCAGGGTGTGTCAAGAGAGTGTGTGCTGGAGAACAGGAATACTTCCTTGCTAGTTTCAGTAGACTGGCAGATATGAATGCCCAGCCTTCTATTCTACTAATCACACGGCTAGAACATTTCTTTTCAAAGAAGCTTTCCAGAAGTTCTTTTAAAATAATCATTTTTTTAAAGAAATTGCAAACATAAAAACAGAATTAACTGGATCCAAAAGTTATTCTGAATGATTCAAATTACTTTTTACCTAACCTTACATAATTAAAAAAAAAAACAGCTCTTGATTTTCATCTGTATCATTTAGGGCTTAGATTTTGTCCTGTCTGCAATGATTACAAGGCAGCAACTCTCAGACACACCTCAGGCCTATACCACCCATTTTATCTTCAAACAAAAGGGAAAAGCTGATTTCTCACTCAAATATATCTTCTGAATGAAGCAGAGTGTTTTACAAAGAAGCCAGATCCCATCAGTAAAATTAATAGTTTCTAGCAACCAAGTCCCAACACAAATGGAAACTAAAGGAAAGTGCATTTTAAATGACAAACAGGAGGCACTTTTTTAAGCAAAGGGGGTGTGGGAATCTTATTGAAGCTGTTACCCAGCCAAACAGCTTAAAAATTTAATAGCTTCCTCTCGTTGGTAGCTTATCATTGTTTCTTATGTAAATACCTCAGTATTACATTGTTTCACAGCATTCGTGTCTGCCATCAGCAGAATGTCTCTACTGCTCTCTGACATTTTTATTTGGTTGCCTGATACTTGCAAAGTTAAACAGAACGTGTTAAACCCATCAAGCTGTTGAGCTCTTTTACACATATCAGTGGAGTGTTATTCAACTAACACACGTAAGTCAGGCAAGCCATGCTCCACAGAAGCCAAGAAATTAACTGTTGAAAGGTTTTGTATCGGACAAATCACTGCTGTCAAAACCTATACAAGCTTCTTAAAAGAGTTCTCTTCATGTAACCCCTGACTTCCCCAAACAACAAAATTAAAATCCTGGTTTTGAAAGTTAAGCACTGATTCAATTTTTCCATGCTCAATGTCTTCACAGATATTTTTTAAAATGTCCAATAGGGCAATTCATACAGATGAAATAACACATTCTTGTGTCATAATGAAATACAATTCAACCAGTGTGGCAAAATTAATGCCTTCAATAGGGTACAACAAGTACACATTCTCAAACCGGCCTGCTTAGCAGTTCTGATTAAATGGGGTGAAGCCTTCTACTGAGTATGTCGTTTTTTTTGGCACCCATCACGTTCACCTGTTTGCCACATGCCCTGGTGTTTCCAGCACTGGTCAGGGAAGTGCTGCTGCTGACAGGGTCTTTGAATTCCAAGAAAGCTGCTGAAACACAAATCAGCTGAGCTTGCAAGAGCAACCTGAAACTTCTAAAGATAAAGAAAGGAAAGTGAGCTACAAAAAGGAATAGGAGATGTTCTCAGACAATTTCAGATTGAAAGGACACTGCAAAAAGAGAGATTAATGTTTGGAGAGAATGTCCTGACAATGCAGTGATTTTTTTTTATTACAGTCACTGCATTTATGAACAAATCACAGGAATCATATTCTTAAACACCACTGATGGGTTGCTACTGAATTGTTGTGTTAGAGATCATAGTTACTAAATGAAACAGACTGCATATTTTCATAAATTGACTTGATAACGATGAACATTCTAAATGAAATGTCCCAAAACGATGTGGCCACAAGGCTGTTTTGTAGATGAATAGTGTTTACACCATACATTGAAAATTCTAAACATATTAAAACCAGCATTTTTAATAAAAAATGTATTCCTGTATTTACTCTTCTTTATACATGACAAACAGAACATTCAACAATGCAACAGGAGTTGTACAAATCTAAAAGGATACACTGAGATTCCGAAATTACAGCTGTGTTCGTTGAAAGCAATCAGTTAATGCTTCCTTTAAATTAGGATTTATTTAGCCGGCATAAAACTTTCTCAAAGGCTAATTCAAGATCCATTTCAACTTGTCTTTTCAAACACATTGCAGGTATGTGGGTTTTACAATATTGAATAAAAATTCATAATCCCTAAACCCAACCCTAACTCTACCCTGATAGTTATAAAGGGCTAGGGATATTGTTTAACACCTTACAGAGCCTAAAATCTAAAAAGATATTAGGCAGGGTACACAAGTGAAACCCATAAATTCAAAGGAAGCATGACCAATGATCTTGTTGAAAAATAACATTAACCTCAGTCTTAAAATTGAAAAGACACATTGCCCGTGTTAGTCGGTGTTAAACAGTCCAGAAGAGAGCTCAAAAACAAGAAGTGTCAGAACCACAAATTCTTCCAGGTGGACCTCAAACACAGACATCACAGATCAAATCCAAGAACCTTGCTTCACTATAATATTCGACAACAAAAGAAGTCTTCAAGCAAGGCAGGACTATTTGATATATTTCTCCATAAACTTCTTGTGAAATTCAGATCGCAAGGTGTCATTCACAAACCGCTTCTCTTTCTTTGAGTCATCAACTCCTTTGGCACAGTTCTTAAACACTACATCATCATCCCACCTGAAAGAAGAGAGAAAGTTGTTTTTTTTAAGTCTGGAACTAAAATGTTAATGTTTGTTTGTTACTTGTGGACAAACAGAAACTCAAGGAAGAACTGATTTTAGTTTGTTACGTGGATTCAATCTAGATTGAAATAAAGTTGATCTCAATAAACTTGAAATGAATTTAAGTTAAGGTTACTAATATACTACAGCACTATTCTTAATTTATAAATATTCAAATCTTCAATAATTTTTAACTTCTAAATTCTGGCAATTTTTACATTTGAACCTGACAGAGAAATGCAAACATACACATAAAACGCTGTCGCCAATGATATGTCATTGATCGCTTGATTAACAAAACGTTAATCAAAATGGTGTGTGATGAGTCGGCTGTGTGTAATATTCCCTTGTTATTTTAACAGTGCTGTCATTCACATTCATTGTTGTTACAAAAAGCTGACACCTACCAGACTACTCAATTAAAGTAGCAAAAAGGGTCTCTACAATACAGGCACTAGCCAGTAATAAAACATCTCTAATAAGTGTGTTCTCTACAGTAATACAAAACTATCACTATAGTCCATGATGCCTGTACACAAATCTGAAACCGACTTCCCAAATCATGCTATACATAACTGATAAACCCAGGAGTACGTTCTATAATAAAATGATCATTCTAAATGCATGCACACAAGAGAAGCTACACAATTATTTAATGTTTATAAGCTACTGTAAGCAGGGTCCCCACTATTCTTCAATAGTTGCATGACACTACACAGCCATGTTATCCAGCGCCTCTTATAAAAAAACAACATAGCACCCTTAATTTCAGACATTGCTCTTAAACTTTTGCTGTATCACTAGATTTGTTATATCAGATTTGAGAGATTGTGCATTACATTTATGTTTCTTAAGTGACCATGGCGTCTTCTGGGAAAGGAAACTAAGACTGGAATCGGGAATTTGCTGGGAAGTGCCAGAAGACATGGGAAGTGTAAAGACAAGAGGTCTGCCATCAACGTACCTCCTCTTGACACTGAAGGAGTTCTGGATCTGTGCCACTTGCTGCTGTCCTGCCAAGTTGAGGAGGGGGTTTCCACTCAAGATGTTCTCCATCCGGATCCTCTCTTCCTCTGCTTTCTGCTCCCGCTCCTGAAAAGCCCAGCAAACACAGCACACATATTTAAAGCTATGCTAAGCCCACAAAATATAGGACTTTTCATATTTGTTTTTAAATGCACTGCCATTTCTGAACTTCTCTGAATATCCAATCATAGGTGGCCATCTCTCCCTTTTCCCCACAAATCTGGAGAGAACTACACCATAAATATTTCTCAATTTTAAAACTAATTTCCTCACCTTCCTGCTAGGTGATCGCTGCACACAACAGTATAGCTCTTGCTGATCAGACAAGTGTCATTCAGGTAATTTGATAGCGTGTTGTCTTGCTTCACAGAATCCTTCTGAACATGCAGAATATCAGATTAAAGATCGTCAAAGGATCTAAAGGCTCTTTTTATAACCCAGGAAACTACAATTTCAGGATTTCACCTAAACTGATTAGTTTTGTTGCACAAGATCACATGTATTCTAGAACCACCACAGCAGATTTCAACCTAGGATTTTATCCCTTGGGAATGCTATTTTAGGTAGCCGATTCAATGTAATTTAGACTGCTGTCCTGTAGGAAATGAGTGTCTACATTAAAGAAAATGCTTCAACATTTGGAGAATAAAACGCCCTCTTAGGATTCAGGGTGCATCTGAGGATTTGGCACCGTTTTTAAATCTGAAGTGAGAGTCCTGAGTCCTGTAAATTGTTCTATTGGAAATGTTCAAATGCTGGCACTTGTAAAAACAAAGTAGCATTCTGTTCTGAGAACTCAGCTTTGTTTGTGCTACTGTAACAGTAGGATGAACATGCCACTGAGCTTTTACATACATTTCCTCAAAATATTCGAGCCACTCCTGCCACTCCAGTAAGAGCACAGCAATGCTCTTGTATAGCTCTTTGTAAGACCTTGTGCCCTTCCAAAACGTTCAGTTAGATTCCTTTTGGTAATTAATGACCCAACAGCAGGGTTTCCTGTAAACAAGCCAATTTGCAGGGAAAAAGTGTCTTAAGTCCCAAATCAGGAAATGCCTTGCATGGAAACAGAAATTTACAAGATGTCTGGACCACAATAAATTTGTGTAGGGGGACAGGAGCCCCTCAGCTACAGTCACTGTGATGTTTTCCTGCAGTTCCAAGAAACTTTTCCTGACATTTTTTAATGCCTTGCTACTACATGTGTTCTGGAAAACATTCAGACAGAAGACCCAGAAATAAATCCTTTGCAGAAGGACAGTTGCAGATCTAAGACCTTGTTATAAATCACAAAGTTCTCGGCATTAATATAAAAAAAACACCAATATTGGAGTAAAATACTCCTGAAGTGACATTTTGTCCATTTTTTTTAGTTTACCCTCCAGCCACTGAACCTCTTCTGATTCTTCTTATAGATACTAATATTTCCCTTCTAGAAAAAAAGATTTATTTCTGACAACTTAACCTTTGAAAGATCATCTCAGCCACCAGGAGATAACAACCCGATGCCTATTTTGGCTTCCTTGATTTACAGTGCTTCGTTACTCTCAAGATTTGTTACATTTATCCTTTTTTGAAAACAGCTCCAAGTGTGAGAGAGATTTTCTCTCTGTCACAAAGTAAAAAATAAGTTATTTTGCTGGACAGTGCACAACTACACCCAATAGGTTTCTATACGCTACTATACTTATTGAGATGGAACAAATTAGGATCTCAGGGTTTCACCAGCAAGATAAAAATAATCCTTAAAGTTTACATAGCCGCAAGGGACCTCACCATCATGACCACTAAAATTAAGCCTAGTCCCACAAAAACCTGGACCAAATAAATTCAGCCTACAGGGAAGGCCTGTATGACTCCTTCACGTGGGAAAAGTGTTCATTCCATGCTATGCTTACAATTCCACGGGCAAATATTCCCAGACATTTCAATGTATTTTCATATGGAGAAAAGGGTACATACTAGCACTTACATATTAAAGCAAAAGGCAATTAAAAGTACACTAAGATGTGTTACTCATTTCACAATGTTCTGAAAACTACTCGCGTTACATATAGAATTAGTGTGCTCTCAGTTAACAGTTCCAAAAGAAAAGAGGGATTCTCTCTCTAACCTGAGAAGAGACAGAAAAAAGAAAAGGGCTTTGTTTCTAGACTCTGGACAAAATCAACACTGCAGAGATGATTTTATGCTCTGTAGCCTCTTTTTAATGAGGCAAAATTGTAACCCATAACCCATAGTGACCTATAAACATTTCCAAAATTCCTTACAGAATATCTTATAAAGAGAGGGGACTTTCATTTTTCAAACTCCAAGCTTGTTTAGTTTAAAGAACACTAAAATTAGGCATGTGTGTCAGAATGTACTGTCTCCAGAACACCCAGATTATTTTTTTCTCAACAATGTGTTCAAGAGACCAAGGAGTCATCCCCGAAAGACTCTAGTGAAATAATCCTTGAAAAAGCAGAGAAAAAAAGGTTTGACTAACTAGGAACATCTACACATTGTAGTATTACTTTTAGTACCTAGGCAGTATAAGTAATAGTACAAAAATAGTAATTTTACTAGTACTAGTTAGGAAAAAACAGGAATGTAACCTTTTAAGTAACATTCACAGATGCAGTAAAGCACTGCTCTCTTCTAAATAAACATTTCCATAACATTGAGCCAGCCTTGTAAACTAAACACAACTGCATTAACCATTACTCTGACCTGTTTCTCATTTCTTGGTAAAAGAATGGAAACGGTAAAGACTTTGGAGAATCTGCAGTCTTCACACAGCTCGCCTGTCCTTCTGAAACAAAATCATGCTGGTGTCAGCAAGCAGTGCATCTGCTCCATAAGTATAAAACTAGAGTAATTCAAATTATATTTCTTTCATGATGCCCAGTGAATGTATGCATGTACAATGTGTCTATGTGTACTATGGATGTGTATGCACTGAATTCCACACCCCACATAGTAGGGAGCATTAAACTGTTTGAGCAGTCAACGCACTAAAAGACAAATGGAAATGGAAGGAGAAGGGCCTATTTGTAATTTCATAGTTCTCTCCAGAAAAGACAAACATTCAAAAATTCTACAGTAGAAATGCCTCCATAATCCATCAGTCTGAGAACCCTGGAACTACTCTTTCAGTTTAATATCCCGTGCGTATTTCACCCTTTAAATAATTCATCTGTCATACAACCCCAAGCTCCAGAGACTTGTACTATGCTTTAAAAAGAAAAGTAACATTTGCATAAATACTCGTGCTTTTGTACATATAAAATCCCTGTGTCCTTCTATGAGATGCAAATAGTATGGCAAGAAGTCTAGGCTTCTGCTGCCCTCTAGTGTTTAACTATGTCTCTCAGTTGAACACACTTTGAATGCAGGATACAAGGAGGAAAATGACTCACTAGAAATAGTTAGTACAATAAAATTAAAAGCATACAAGGTATATTATGATTAAAATAAGATAAAGAATAGAACAACACTTCATTCTTCTTCACTGTTAAGAGCCATATCTGTTTCTTCTCTCTTTTTAATAATAATATCACTTTATTAACCCTATACAATTACTTGCATTAGGAATTTGTCTTTTCACATACCCCAGCTTGCTCTCCATGAGACACACAGACACACGGATAGGGAGAGAGCCTGGGGTCAGAGCGCAGGGTCTGCCATTGTACAGCGCCCCTGGAGCAGTTGGGGTTAAGGGCCTTGCTCAGTGGCCCAACGGAGTAGGATTCCTCTGCCGGCTGCGGGATTTGAACCGGCAACCTTCCAGCCACAGGCGCAGATCCTTAGCCACAGAGCCCCCGCTCCACCCCCAGAAATAATAGCAAGCTGAACAATTTGAACAAATTTTACTCTTCCCCTGTTCATAGAACCTCTGAGCTGCTGGAGAGCACTGACCCAACTGAGGCACAGTCAGTCCATCCAGGCAGCCTGTGAAAAGGCTGAGTGCTGCTGAATGTGGCGTGAATTACCTTGCGTTCCTGTTCCTCTGCGCGCTCCTTTTTGATCTTGTCCAGTTCAGCCAGCAGGGCAGCTGTGTCGTCATCACTGTCCTCTTCAGAGTCCTCATCCTCCTCCTCATCCTGGCAGAGAGACACAGTTTAGGAGCACGCACACACACCAGCTGTCATTTTCCCCAACCACAAGATTTTGAATTCGGAAATAAAATCAGTTTATTTTTATTAAGGGCACCTACATCCGTGAGAGGATCATCAGCATCCAGGTTGGCTGCTGGGATCTGGTCTAACCGTGGCCTCTTGGAAGAAGAGGAGGAGGATGTGGTGTGCTCTGGAATAAAACAAGACCATGGGTATTAACATCCATCAAGAAGCCTTTGATTCATATACAACACTGCATGAGCTCAAGAGGCCCTTAAATCGACTATGGCTGTGGAGTCATTTAAACGGGAACTGCAGTCAGAATTTCTCAGACTGGTTATTAAATCTCCGTTACAAAACAAATTTATCAACGTTATAGGAAAAAAAAATACAAATTTTGAATGAAGCACAAAATCGCGAAATTTGTGAAAGTACTGTGGACATGTTATCGCAAACCCCTGGTCTCACCGCAGGCAAGAGCAACACTTCCCACGGACTGTGACATGATGCAGCCCTTCCTGCTCACTAGTCACCGTAATGACTAATGTAATGTGATGTATGAGTGGATAAGGACAGGCTGTGCAGCAGACACTTCACCGCAGAAATGTTCCAACGTGATCTGCATACAGAGTTAACAAATAAGTTGTATTTGTTGGCAAAACCATCTGAAAGTCGAGAGATGTATTAAATGAGATGTATTCACAAGCCTGCTTGTTCACAGAGTCACAGGGCTGCAACACCTCACCAGAAATTTTGTTCTGAAACCCTGAATATAACACTGTGCATACCTGGAAATTTCATCCATTTTTAATGTAAATTGGAGGTTTTACAAGTTACTGTGCACATTTTACTTTTATTGTGGTTTGAAATGCCCTCATCGATGCTGAATTCTTTCTAACCCCGAAATATTAAAATAGTGTTGCAGTGCCCCTTTAATTCTGACAAAAAGACAAACGGACACAATTTCCTCCTGCCCATCACACAGGTTTTGAAAAACAGTATGGGTGCCTTGGCTCGGAGGCCTCGGCACAACCTGAACTGCTAGTGCTGTGCCGTTCACCTCTGGCTGGCCTGTCCCTGGTCTTCTCCCTGACCACCACTCGCTCCCTCTCCTCCAGCTCCCTGCGGAAGTCCCGGGCACGCACCTCCTCGGGGGCATCCTGGGTGGGCTGCCTGAGAGAAATATCATGTGTGTGAGCACAGAAGATACTTGGCAAACAGGACAAGACAAGGAGACTTAGATGTGTTGCAAAGTAGGGAACTAATTCAAAATTCTACCTCAAAATGAAATCTACCTATACTGTCGAGCTTATGTACTTCCAGACACCCCCAAAAGACAAATTTCATTCTCAGAAGAAGGTGCTGAGTGAGAACATCACCTGCCAATCTTCTTTACACAGAAAAAAAATAATGACTGTTGCAAGATAAATAACTTTAGGTACAAATAAACCTATACATGGTTCAAATCATATACAAGGTACAAATAGAAGCATTCACAATCTAGGAGTGGTTGAACCTACTGCTAAATAAAATCCCCCCCACCCCAACTCTGGATTAGCAGGCCTAACCTGTATTTGATTTTGGTGTGAGAAGGTAAATCCCTGCTGGAGTACTGTTTGGACAGAGCACTGAGGTCTCCTTCTCCTTTGCCTCTCCCTCCTCTCGCGGGCTCAAAGGTAGGCCTGGCAGCTGTAGTCATCGTCACTCACTGGAAAAACGCAAAACGGAGCAAAGGGCAATATTTTCACTGTGCTCAAGAAGCAAACTTTTTAAACGGCAGTGTTACGCGCAAGTGCCAATTGATGGTCCTCTCGTTCTCAGCCGTAAGTAAACCTGGTGAAACTCATTACAGCAGTTTTCTGCAGCCAAGCACGTAGCGCCGACACCTCCACCTCTGTGCAATGGGACACATGTTCATGCGTGTAACATTATCGTTCAGTGCCTCAAAGTTGCTGTAATACGTAAGAAATTCGTAAATCCAAGATTTATTAGCATGCCATGATAGAAGACTTAGAATACGCCTGTGAAAAAACGTTACATTTTACGTTTTGGCTTCTTAAACTGAAATCCCACGGTACTGGATTACAAAAAGAAAGGCGTTCAACGCACATTTGTTGAAGCTAGAAACTTTTACTGTTTTGATAGAATCGGAAACCTGTGTTAGACCGTGTAAATTAAAACAAATTATAGAGCAGAATCCCGAAACAAATAAAAATATTGTACTGTTAATTTTGACATTATTCAACAATATTCCTTTTGAGAACGTACGAAAATTTTCATTGAACGCTGTTCAGCTACAAACCGACATTGTAATAATTTGTACCTAAAACGATCTGAACGGATTTACATGTAACACTTTTAAATTTATAATATAAAATGTTTGGCATTCTATTTTAAAGCCTTAGATATTTAATTATGACAAAAAGAAACCTTATTTATCTTATGAATTGTATCTTACATTACGCTCCACAACAACTAGAACCTCCGATATCCCAGACTGCAACGCGGAACGGGTCAGAGGCTCTACGGAGTGTCATATGGGACAAATAGTCTTTTGGTCGCAAAAAAATCGTTTTTAGATATGAACAATTCTCGTGGAAAACACCAAATAAATGTGTCAAGCCATTTTTAATAAACTTATAACTTTAAATGTATCACATCAGCTGCTTTTAGTCTTATTTCAATTAAAACTATTTTATTTACCATGTCATCTTATTTTTTTAAATTATCTTAAATCATGGTACTAGAGAGTATCTAAGAATTTGCAAGTGCTCCTCCAGAGTTTCCAGAATCTAAGATTGGGTTGTTTTGGAATGCAGTTTAGTTTCATTTAATGGTAACATTCAATTCTGTACCAGCAACAACCATTTAAATAAGAGGGCAAAGGTATTTCAGCAACACTTGTACCATTTAATTACTTTCAGTAGTAATACAACTATTAATAACAATAAAACTATAGTTTGCCATAAAAACAGCTAAGTTCAAATACCCTTTCATACAGAATGAAGAGCTTATAACACTTTCTTCTATGCATTAATTACTTTATCTCCTTTTTATAGTTAAAATGTTGAAACCCATGTGACACAACTGATAGGGAGTTTGGGGGGATTTAGATACTAAACTGTTATAAAAACTGTACTGTTTGTAAAGGCCCCCTTCTTTAAATTGTAGTTGGATAAAACAACAGCATATTTGCTTGGTAAATTGCTTTCATTGAACTGAACTCAAATAGTTTGTTTTTGTTCCTTGGATGTGCACACAGACATTAACATGTCTGCAGTTACAATATTGTTATTGAAAGCATACAATGAATTATTCCTTGAAACTTGCTGGTTTGCAATCAGTCTTGAAGAGGACTGTGTTATGTATACCCTTATGAAATGCAGCATGTTGGTTGCAGTGGTTAGCATTGCTGTCTTGCAGCACTGGGACCCTGGGTTCAATTGTGCACCTGGGGTTCTATCTGTGTGGAGTTTGTATGTTCTCCCTGTGGTCACGTGAGCTGCCTTCGGTTGCTCTGGTTGACTCCCACAATCCACAGATATTCTGGTAGGTTAATTAGCTTCTGGGAAAATTGGCCCTGGTGTGTCTGTGTGTCTGTGTATCTACCTTGTGATGGACTGGAGTTCTGTCCAAAGTGTTTTCTGCTTTGTGCCTATTGCTTGTTGGGATAGGCTCCAACTCCCCTGCAACCCTAAATCAGATAAGTGCTTAGAAAATAGATGGATGGATATCCTTATGAAAATCACTTATGGATGACTTATAGGTATTTATAGAAGCTTCTGGCATTTTATATAAAACTTCAAGGTTATTTTCCTAAGGGTACTACTGTGGTATCCAGACCACACTGCTATCCAAGGGCCAGTGTGATTGACAGTAACTAGCCGTTACTGGCTTAACCTAATCAATTTACTGTAAATACCGCTTCTCCCAGTTTGTCAGCTGCTGTTGCTTTTAAGAGACTTTGAAAACCTGCTGACATATTTGTCCTTGTTTTTCACTTCCCAAGATGGACAGACAACTGACAGTTTACATGGCATATTAAACGAACACCAGATAGGCTGTTTGCAAAATTACATGGCAGCATACAGACAGCATTTCTACCACTGAGCGATTTAAACCCTTCCTTGCATGAAAACAAAGCACCCCGTGGGAAATCTATATATATGTAGAAAAAATATTTATAAATGGAAGGTGTTGTTTAGATCCATATTTTTAACATTGAATTTCTAGGAAACATTTTGTAATTTTTATAGACTGAAAAGCTAGGGTGTTTAGGATGGAGATAAAGGACATGACACAAACGGGAAAGGGTATGTATGTCATTGATGACTGCAGTGGTTACATTGAATAAATCTTCAATAAGACAAAGGTACAATACAAATGTACCTATTATATGCATATATCTTTAGTAATTTTGGATTGTAAGGCGTTTAGTGATATATTAAACATGAGAAATTGATTTTGGTGGAACTGAGCTTTACAAATGCAAGCCTGTTCTCTAACACTAGATGGTGACAATAGTACATAGACACGATAGCGGTGGAAGTCTTTCTCTTACTGAGCCATTGTGGAATGTTGAAGTTCTTGTTCTGTATAGTGAGAAACAAATACAGAACATATTTCTAGCTAGGTTATCAATAGAGTAAATTGAGTCTGAAGCCTTAATTTCAACAGTGTCCTGTAACTGAAACACCAAAAAAACTCACAGGAAACTGTGAATCTTGAAATAGCACCTAACATTGATACCAACAGTAGCACTGGAGGTTTCACATAAACAAAATGCATAATAAAGATACTTAAAACAATTTAGAAAGTCAATCCTGCTCCTGAAATGCTAAAATTATCAGTAAATATTTGTATCCAATTGTGTCAAATTTTCAAAGATAAACTCACCTCACAGACTAAATATTAAAATACATACCATACAAATAAAGGAAATACTTTATTTTTGTATTTCTTTTTACATGTAAATGCAGGAAGTCTTGTGTCATGTTTTTCCATTTGTTGGTGGAATCTTTGAAAAGGAAATTCATCCAATTTTTTAAAACCAGCCAAGAATGTTTGGTCTCTTCTTTGAGGAAATAAATGCTTTTGTAGCTCCTAGCATGTATCTTGAAAATAAATGGCTTTGTTATAATTTCATCAGTCTCTTTACATTCACTTACAGTATCAGTGATTATTAATTGTGCAATTACCACTGTTGTTGTCTTCTGTGATCTGCAACTACCAAGAGAGAACTGCCCTCCATTCTCCAATAAGAATAGCAATGTTGACTTGGTAGCTGCCCATTTCGGTAGAAAATATATAACTCTAGAGATAAAACTTCAAACAATGGGGACACAATTTAAGCTGCAGTGTTTTTGACTTGCTACATCATATTTCAGAGAAGGCTGTTCATCTTAATATAACAATTCCCACAAGCATTCAGAAACATATGCTAGATAATGAAATACGAATTGAGTGGCTTTGATTTGAGAAATTCACAGACCCACAAGAGAACAGTTCTGACAGCACTGCTGATGTAATGTTACTTTCATCAGCTCCTCACAAACTACTGAAGTAGATGATTAAATATGAGCTTGATGGTTAGGGAACAGCTAATACAAACAAGAAGCTTCCAGTGACTTCCCAATTGCAATGATATTGAAATGATGTGTTGCTGCACTTCTCAATGCTCTCGTTTGTCTGATTTAACACAATACACCACTCAGGAGTTGTTTTGACAGCTTTATTGAAACCATAAATGAGAATCTTTTATTTTCTTCTCTACAAGCAAATGCAAAATAAAATCCTGATCATATAAATGCGATATACTGTATAGTTTCACAAGCCCACCCCATTGTTCCGTACCTAGGAAAAGAAAACTGAAAACAAAACAAAAAAAACTATTGGACTAAAGTACAAATGTACTTATTGAAACACTACAATAGTAACACATATAATTAGTTTTGGGCTCAAGTAAACAAAACTAGCATTGCTACAGAAATACTGCCATTCCACAGTTGAAGCGCCATTCCAACTGTGCAATGTCTCCTACGGCAAATTTAGAATGCAAATTTATCACATTTTTAATCAAAACGGATGAATTCTTAATATAATTTTAAATGAAGACAGGCCTATCCTAAAGAGTTTAAAGATGCTGTTACCACTTACAGTCACTCTTATGTATGTCTAAGATAAGGCATTCCATTGTCTAGGAGAATACATAGCTGCAACAAAATATATTGATATATTGAGTTCAAATATTGCTTTGAACTCTTTTTAAATCTGTTTTCATCAGACAAAGTGACACTTTCACTCCAAGGCAGACAAAGTCCGCTGTGCAAACTGAGAAATGTATAGCAATAACTGCAAACTGAGAAATGTCTCATTTTTTGGAGAACTAAAAAATATTGTTCTTTTGTAATTTAACATGTTTTCATCTTGAAAAAAAGTTACCAACTGGGACTTCAGAATTCAAAGGGTTTTTTAAAGACTTTTTTTACATACATGTACAGAGAAACAAGCATTCACAAAGCACTGCTGAATTTTTTTTTCTTTCAGGCCTACCAGGGCTCAATATTTCTTTTTTTCTCAATTTCAAATGCACAGATCACATTTTAACTCCCATTCCACTCAACTCAGAAAGAAAAGGAACACCAAGACACACATCTTTCCTCAGAAATGTGCCAGTTACACATAGCTGTGTGTAGTTAAGAGCCCATGTGGGTACAATTCAAATCAAGTGACTTCTTCACTTTATGGGAGTCTCCCAATAACCTGATTGTAGGTTCCCAACGATAAATCTCAAGAGGGAACTTTGCTTTTGTTCTTTACATATTCCTAAAATTTCATTGTACTCTGAATTGGTTTGCAGTAGTAAATACTGATAATGTACTACACGATGCTTGGGAGTATTCTAAGAGTAGTCTATGGTATTATCCTGTAATAATCTTAGTTTACAGCATGTAAACTCTTTTCAGGTTTACATGTTGTGGTTGGAGAATTCAAATTGTCGGGTTTTCTTATCTTCATGCTGGGGGCCAGAGTGGCAATGTGGTATTCACTACTGCAGTCATTTCTCAATAATTCAGTGGTATAGTATATCAGTATGGAAATTCACAAGAGATGTCATGCTTACAAGTCTTTAAAGGTATTACATCTGTTCTGGTCTACTACTCCTTATCTGCAGCACAGTACAAAAAAAAGTTTATAGCTTATTCGAATTCTGAAACGTTTTTCCAGGTAAAACGGGAGATATGATGATCATTTCAGATTCAATGGAAAGAAAAAAACAATAAAAAGAGTAATTAACAGTCCTTAACAGTAATAAAGCACAACTGAAAAAGGTAGCATCACAGTTCTGTTATTCCAAAGGTATATACAAATTATAAAACAGAGCATGCCTGATCAAGGTATTAATACTGACAAAATTAAGGAAAGGGCTCCTACAAAAAAATTAACAAGAAATAAGGTACACACAGTTGCATATGAAGAGTTTTCATTACATGCTACCACATTTTCTCTAAGAAAACAACTAAATGAGATTACAGAACAAAAGGATATAAAGTGTACGCTGGAATCATTCTCCCCAACATTTTTCTTTTTTCAGTAGAAATACAGACATTCATTACATCATTATATTACAAGTCCAAGCAAGCATAGGTAAAGGAACATTTCAAGTTTGAATCTATTGTCGTTCATAAAGGGCACTTCCAGAATCACAGAGTATTGCATTTTCAGACAACAAGAAAAAAAGGAGCCCCAGATCTCTCGAGGTCGTGGAAGGACACTCCTCATAATCCCACTAATACTTGTCTTACACTTTGGAAACAGCTTTTTTTCTAGACTGTTATTATTATTATTTTGCTTTTGCATTATAAATCTTAATTATTTACCCAAAATAATGCTGTACTTGATACTGGTTGCTTCTTCCAATACTACCAATCAACCTGGATTTGGCAATCCTTATGGGATCTGATCTTTAAATACACATGTGGGAAAGCTAGATGCTGATCATCAACACATAATTACACCAAAAAGTGTAAATCCTTTTAATGCTACAGAAATATTTGAATGAATGGGAACTGCATAAATGTTCAGTCTACCCAACACCAATCCTCTATTTCCCCATTAGCCCCAACAGTACTTTGGCTGACTGAAAACACTGGATTATTTATCTTCATTGTTACTATGGTTTTTCATGTACTTCCGTAGTTAAGCACTCTGTGTTTTGCAGTATGATAAACAGAAAAGTAATGCCACACCCAAGTCTAGACGTAGACAGTTCAGAAACTATCTGTAGGTACAGACGGAAACTAATCTGTTTACAAAGGAAAAATGTATTTGGCATCTGATGGTTTTTTACCTGTATTCACAGTTTTTAGTGTTCTTTTATGGCTATATATGGAACCAATGGGAAGGAGCAGTAAGGCAAACTACACAATAAAAAAATATTTAGGGATCCGTGTGCGAGATCAGATACAAGTGGGAACTCTGCAATGACGTTTTTATTGCAGACAATTAGGTTTTATTTTACTAACAATGACTGAACCAATCTTGACAGAAACCCCACTGGCTGCAAAATGTGAAAGCTATTTAATTAATGTGCCTTTTTAATCAAATGTTGTGCTCATGTTTGTGAACTAAGGATATAGCAAAAGACTTATAACACCTTGTCTTCAATATCTGTAAGGCGGTGAAAAAAAGTCTATTCTTGAACTCTGTGACTTTTCCCAAAGCCACTGCAAACATCCTGAATGAACCAATTCACCCAGATTCTCAGCAACAGCTGTCCTTAAACATTGAACATAAACATCCAACCATAGCAGATACTGACCTCACTACCTGTTTGTGTGCAATGCACTGTTGAATATTGTGCTGCATGCTAAAAATAACTGATGGTTGCTTTGGGTGCTACATCACCTATGGATTTTTAGTTTTAATAGAGACATGCTCACTTGTACAGAAATAAACAAAACCAGAGCCCAAGTAGTAAAAAAAGCAAATCCTAAAAATTTTAAGAGTGTGCAAAAAATGCAGCAAACAAAAAGCATGAATTTATTATCTCTAGGCTTTGAAAGAAAAAGTTGGGAGACGCAAACCATTAAATATTGCACTAAGAACTTTCATCACAAGCTTATTCTTTCAGGCCTAAATTCTTCTGACTTAGGGTTAAGAAGCTTTGAATCTCCAAAGTGGTGAAGATAAAATAAAATAAGATAAAATACACATATAAGAGCAATGAAGTTTTATAAGATTGTACCAACCTACACTTGTAGGGGTCATTCTTCTGTTAAAATTATTTAATATAAACAGGCATTACTCTGTAGGAGAAAGAAACAGTCCATGATAGTGGATGAAAATAAAATGTTCTCGTATACATGAACAAATGTACTAGCCAGATCAGTTACCAATTATGTAACATTAGGCACTGTGGTGCTAATTTTACTATGGGGGTACTTTTTACAAATGAAAACCAGTTAGAATAATGACAGAATAGCTTCAACTGCTGTGGATCTTGTGAGCAACGTTTTATAATCTTGTAGGAAAAAAATAATACTTAAGTAAGATTTTATCTTTTTTGATGAATTTCACATTTTATTAAAAGCTACATATCAAAAGATTAAAGAAACGCTCTCAGCCTATTCACATTAACTAGTCTTAAAAAAGTTAAGACGCTTAACTACCCAGCACCCTTACAAAAAGGCTTGCCTGCACAATGTAGGGGGCTTACTCTTTTAAAGTTGGTTTTGCCGTTTTATTTTTCTTTTAAAGAAGTTGAAAAACCACTGAGAAAGAAACAAACATGCTTCTAGCTTCTTAGAGAAGCTAAAAGGGGATTTAGTGCTTGCTGCTCAGTGTCATGTTTCGTGGAGGGGAAACACAAATTGCACTTTAAACTTGTCACGAGACGCATGACAAAGCATATTGACACTGGGGTTTCAAGATTGTCTTGTGATCCTTCGCGAGAGAGCTGGCTGCCACCACAGTCCCAGCTAAGGAAGGTGTCTTTCGGAGGCCGGGGATCTTGGGTCACTCAGGTCATGTAGCGAGTGATGGCGCGCAGGGCATACAGAAGCTCAGCTTGCATTCGAGCCTCCATCAGGAGCAGATTGACATGGACCTGAAGACAAAACACAGGGTAGGCCTATGATGATCCAGACAGGTTTAGAAATAGCACAAGAAAGAAGAACAGTACAGGGTACAGGATTATAGTCGATATCAGGACGGGAAAAAAAGGAAGCCTACATGCCAAAGAGTGACAATATACACATGATGCAACAGCAACAAAATTAAGCAATAAACAGAAAAAAAAAGTATGCTCAATAAAATCTATTTAAGCACACAGCGAATGTTCATTATCCCTTGCCCTGATGAAGAAGCTTACAGGTGGCAAAATATGGATGGCCTGATAAAATAAAGTTGGAGTAGTGAATTAGAACAATTTTCTCTTAATTGATTGAATGAAAAGTACTACGTTTTGTCTTGTTATAATTACTCCAGCCTAGATTACACGTGAAAGAAAAATAAACCATTACCGTGGCAACGGTATGTTAAAATTGGGTTGTAAGTGAAGTAAACCTGGACCCTAGCAAGTCTGAACACGAAACAGTTCTTTCTTTATATTGTAACAGTGTTTCAGTATATCCATTCCAATGCTTAGACATTCCAGCTGGAGTTTCTAAGATGTTTAAAACATTTGTTTCTTGTTGAAGGCCTTTAGAAAAGAGGATGAATCTGCAAAACTAACTCCATACTTCTCAAACCAACATTAGTCTCATTTTTGACCTTTGAAGACCTCAAATAGATTTCTAGGATGCTGCTTCAAGTTACACTTTCCATATAAGCATTTAAGATGGTTTTAAGGACATCAGACTTAGGAACAAATAATTGTGCATATACACAAACAGAATTGTTGTGGACCAATGTCTGAATCTCTCATAACAACATATTTGCTAGATCACTGCACAGACAATTGTAGGATTGCATCAGAGTTCTGCATCAATCAGGCACGACCAACTGAGTTGTTTATTTCTTATGTAGTAAATATTATATAATCAGAAGAATTTGGTTATAGCAGTATTATTTAAAATAAATTCCCCATTCTACTGGATTATTTCTCTACTTGTTGTACCTTTACATTATTATGATTTAATCTGAGTTAGAACAGTAATCCTATGCAAGGAACACGCCCGTCAATTGTCCCTCTCCTCACCTTTTCGGAGTGCCTAAACTGGCGCCAATAGCTGTCATACATGCGCCTTGTAGTCCTTTCGGGATAGCAGGTCACTGTCTTGATGTAGACCTTCAGAGTCCGCTCCAGCAACTGATTCACCTCTCCATAGTCATAGTCATCGTATCTAGAAAATGGATTGAATATACCAGACATTTTTAACTGTGCAGCTTATATGGGTCTTTGGTTGTGCTTTTGACTGGAGAATATGGCTGTGCTACCCTCCAAAAAAGAGACAGAAGAGATCTGCGTGGAGCTATGATCAACAGAAAATGAACCATTCTCTTCCGATTGAGGGGTGTTCACTGTCTACAGAACCTACAACAAGCTACAACAACAAAGGCTGCTTTCAAACAATACAGACACAAGCTTTGTTAGTTAACACAATGCTCAGTTAATCTAATTTCAAAATATCGAGACGTTCCAAAACACCAATTAGAAAACAAAACAACTCTTGTTGTTAGACAAACTCCGCTCTCAGTTAAACATGCATAAAAAACAGTAGTTTTTTTCAGAGCTCGAGAGACAACACACCCAGTAAGAGACAACACACCCAGTATGACACAGTGTCTGCACAGGAAATACAGATGCTCAGAAGGTTACCTGATGCCAAACATGCAGTGCACATAGTTGAAGAGTGCACGGCGCAACATAGTGGTGTCCACGTCTTCATGGCTGGCCATGTTGTAGTAGGTCAGGTTATAAACAGTGCGGAACTTGTCGTCCAGCAGGTGGCCAATGTCTGAGTACAGCCGGTTGATCAGCGAGAAGCCATGGTCCTCCCATGAGTAGTCCTGCCAAAAGGAAGGAAGGCTATATTAATAATAATTGCTTACTCTTATATAACGCTTTTCTTGACATTCCACTCAAAGAGCTTTACAGGTAATGGGGACTCCCCTCCACCACCACCTATGTACAGCATTCACCTGGATGATGCAAGTGCACCAGAATGCAGAATGAAAACAGAGGGATGAAGTAATTCATACAGTAGATCGGGATTCTTAGGAGGCCTTGATTGGTAAAGGCCAATGGGAAGTCTGGACAGGATCCCAGGGTTACACCCCTACTCTTTTCAAGAAACACCCTGGGATTTTTAATGACCACAGAGAGTCAGGATCCATAACTATTCTTTTATGTCAACAGCTTCTCAGAGAACAGAAGGATCTGTGACAGATCCGCGACAGAGCATCCGAGAACAGAAAGTAAGAACAGAAACTTCTGCAATAGAAACAATGCAGACACAGAAATCTTTGCAAAACTGGAAAAGGACTATGATCCATTTTATTTACTATTTCACATCTACAGAAGGGAAGAGTAAATCGTAATGATAATGCCAACAGAAGCAAACAAAACCCAGTCATGAAAATAATAGGATACTAAACATCCTTATTACATCATTCATCTCATAATTTATTTATATTGCAACGCTCAGAGGTCATTCAGATCCCAAAGTCAATGATACTTTCTTGTTTACTGACAAACCTAAATACCTGAGCTCTGAATGTCGGAAGGTTATCTTCTCCATGTCTCGCAAAATCCTGGTACCCAAAGGTGGGATCTTCCACAAAGCGCGAGACTCTGGATGTCAGCACCACTTCCTCAAAAACTGGTGGGAGATGACCGATTGATCACGTAAGCGGAACGATTTAAACAGCAGCCTATAATCATTTTTCCCTAAAAGGAGAAGAAACACCTTCTTTTCGTCAACACAGTCATGTTTTGCTGTTGCTGACCAACAAACTTCATTTACAGCACTACATTCCCATACCATAGCAGAAACAAGCCTGGTTCAAGGATATCCTCCTTCTGCTTTCAAACTGCAAATTTTCTTGTCTTAGTCTGATTTGGTGCTTTTAGACAATTTTAATTTTCTGTCCAAAAATGCTAAAAAAACAGGCTTTCCCTCAATCCACCGCCTTTTTTATCATAAAAAAATTACATCCGTCCAAGCTTGTACCAAAGGACTTCCAAAGAAAGGTCAAACAGCTGAGCTAGTTTAAACTCTACCTGCCATTTCCAGTTTGAGTCAAGGTATAATATTCATACAACCCAAAGCAGATGTCCACTGTTGAAACTGCATGATCTAAAGCCATATGGATACTTTTTTTAAAAAAAAAGAAGAGACCTGGGAAAGCAGCCAAGATGTGATAAGACAGGCCAGAGTCAATCACAGACACCATAATCACTTCCACTAAAGCACTATTACACAACTTCATCTGTCCACCTGCTTCACTCAGTGAGAGAGAAGCAGGTTACAGACAAAGGCCTTTACAGATGTTGCAATACGTTGGTGCCGGCTCTACAGGGATGCTTGGTAACTGCAGTGTTTGAACTGGTTTGCAGCTTGCTTTAAGCCGCTAGTATTTGCCATTTGTTTGCTCTCTGAAATCGCTACCTTAACATCTTGATAAAAACTAAACAATACAAAAATCACTGCATCAGTTTTTTTAATTGCTCTCCATGCTGGGCAGACAAATACTTTTCCATCCATACAGGACATACTCGCTATTTTTCAGAACATTTGCGGACGGGTTCTTTGAAGCTCGAAGTGCATGATTTTTGGATTGAATGACAATCCAATCTTCTTCGTTTCCTAATTAGGCTTCCAGAGGGACACAGTGAATTAATGTATTTTTTTCCCCCATTTCCAATTCCAAATCCAAATAAATGCCTTAGATCAGCTTTAATTAAGTAATAAACTACTGTACAGATGCATTAAGCAGTTGATATACAAAATTAATAAATCATGCTTTAGGAACAGATCTCAGTATCCCTGCATCAGAGCGTCGGGTTATTAACCAATAAAAGCAGCTGAAAGAACTGACTTCCATTAGTTTCAGCTGTAATTTCAAACCTAATAGTTTTCTTGTTCTTTCCACAAAGCCATCACAGCGATAGAGCGGGGTCTGTCATACCTCCAGAGCCCACCAGGAGGCTCTCCTTCTTCTCCTTCTCAAAACGTGTGGCCATTTCCTCCTGCGACGCTTCCTCTTCCTCTCGCTCCTCCTGCAGTCTCTTCATCCTCTCCATCAGAGCCTCAAGCTCGCTCACCGAGTCCTTGGTCTGAGAGGCAGCAACCCACAGAAATAGTACCCGACCACCCTTGGGGTCAAACGTCTCAGGCCATACGCATTAACATTTGGCATGCACGTGAAGAAACTAAGGCTACATGTCAGCTTGTTAACCAATCAAGACCCTGCTTCATGTAAGTGTGAAAATGATTCTCATGAAGACTTCCAGATTTTATTGAAAATGTATGGGTACTACGTATGAAGTAATACTTCAAAATTAAAAAAATACAAAGCTGTCTCATACACAATGTACTGTATTCTAAAGTGAACTAAACTGTTCTATTACATATTTAGACTACAAAATCTGCGAGGTTTAATAATAAACACCCTAACCATCAACTGATCTGCAGTTTGCAACAGTTTTTTGTTTGTTTTTTACTGATATATTTGAGGTTTGGGACCCTCAAAGCATCTTTTTTCTTTTTAAACCAGTTTTATTTTTTTCCTGTCATCACTAAATCCAAATTCAATGTATTCCGGTTGTATGAACGTTTGCATTTGTTCCCTATTGCTCTTTACCTTTAATATGAAAGATTCTTGGGTGCATTAACTATTATTCCAATTGGTTAATACAAACTCTCCATGAGGTTGGTTAGGATATATATATATTCTTGTCTTTATGTCGGTTGAGGTTCAATATTAATTTGATTGGCAAATCAGTGTGCAAATCATTTAAAATGTGGCATGCCAAGAAAAATAGCATACATGCCACTTTCTGTCCCTGACATGTAAACATGTCACAATTTAACTTGTTTCCTGCAATGTTTATGACTCAGATGTTACATAAAATATCTTGACGAAACAGCCCACTCTGGTGATTTTTAAAATACGTGTTAATCAGTGAGAATGATGCTCTCTGGTTTTCATCTCACATTAGGTTTGCAGTAAAACAGACAAGTCATTGATTCATTAAGTCATTCATTAAGGCAGTCACTCACCACAACATTCTTATGTGGTTGACACAAACCATAAATAAAATATCTGTTGTGCTTCTGGTTTGGGCTACATTTCTGTATGATTCATAAGCACCAAAATCCTCGGATAAGAATAGTGAAGTTAATATAGTTTCAATGTAACCTATATTTGACAAAATAGGGAAATAATCTGCTTGTACTTGAAAATGGCTCAGAACATGTGAGACATAACAAGATATATTGATTATAATGCTGTATTATTGCACGAGTAATATGCACTGGGGGTTACAGATATGCGATGGAGAATGATTGACTGAATTATTAATTTATTATCTTTATTAACAGTGTTCAAAATATCAGAATGGGAGAAAACTGCAACTGCAGTTTGGAACTGTAACTTTAGTTGAATTCTGGCATACCTATACAACTATATTTTATATGTCTGGCACATTTTACTTTTGTTCTTTCAGAATTTCATAATGCTCAACAAATACAATAATAACAAATACACTTGTCTCTATTACTGAGCACAGTGGTGACTGTGATGTAAGCATGGCATATTGCTGTTTTTGTCATTATCACTGCAATTCTATTCCTCTGCCTCAGCCTCTCACCTCAGGGTTGGCGCAGTCAAGTATGCTGTCCTCCAGGCTGTTGTCGTTGGCCAAGTCACAAATGCAGAAATTATTGACCGTGGTCCGCTGGAAGTTGTCACTGTCCACTTCCGGGTTGATGCCGCTGCCAAACACGAAGCTGGCCAGGGCGTGAAAGTGGGCCAGCAGTACCACGGCGTGGACCAGTTCTGCCAGGGACCAGCTGTTCTCTCCAGTCTTCACAAGTTTCTGACAGTGGACAAAAGAGATGCTTTCTAGATTTTGCTTGTATTAAGAATGAATGGTTTTGCATGTGCTGTAAAACAGCCACTATACCAAATAAAATACACAGATGTACACACACTGCAGGATCTGAGGTGAACAAAATAGAAATATATGACTTAAATACATGCTGTCTCTCATTGTACCAAATGAACCTCTCTAGGAACTTTATTCACATCTCAGAGTACTGAGAGATGCATTGCATTGATGGAAGTTTTTTTATTTTATATTTAAATGTCATGAGTGAGGAGGTTTCTTTTTATTTTAATATCGTTCATGCTGGTTCTCATCACCAACCCATTTAGCTTTTCCTGCCATGTTATCTACCTAACAGCTCCTGGCCCCTGGCGTCGGTACCTGTATGTGCTCCTTGGTGATGAGCCAGGGCCGGTGGGCCAGGATTTTGTTGATCTCGTTCAGGTTCCTCAGCCTCTGAGGGATGTACTCCAGGCCTTTGAGCCACTCCAGACACACGCCAATCTGATAGAACTCCTGAACGTGCATGTTGACCAGGAAAGAACACTGGTGTCTAGCTGCAGCCTGCAGAATGAACAGCAAGAGGAGCTCAAGAGGCTGTCAGTGACCTAAAGCAGAAGACACCACAGCGCAACTCAGCTTCAGCGGCAAGCCTCACCATGATGGCAATGTAGTGGCGGTAGTGCAGGGGCAGTGGGCCATCCATTCTCAGCATGTAGAACTGGCTCCTCAGGAAGGATTCCAAGTACTGGGGGTGAAGGCCCATCAGCTGAGTGAGGTGGTCTATCCTCCCAGATGTGGAATACTCCTCTACCAGCAGCAGGTTAGTGTGAGTGTCTGCCGGCGTCGCCTCCAAGATCTGGGAGGGGGAAGAAGACAACAACAATCAACATTGCCACAATAGCGATGGTCCAAATCATCCCAGTACCACGAGAAGAGACTCGACACATGGTACGGGGTATTGAACACGCACAGCGTTACAGAAAAGAAAAAGAAAAATGAGCATTCATGTACATTCATACAGGTAGTTATGCAAAGGTATGACGGATCACAATGTACCATTCAGGAAATATCACGAAGAGAAGAGTGCCACACTTTAGATTAACTTTTTGGTCACTAGGGTGTGAACACAAAAAAAAAAGGTTACCTCATTTTCTGGTATAAAGGCACTGGGGCCACTTGTCAGGGGTCGGGGGACTCGCATTCCTTTTTCCTATTAAGAAAAACAGCTTGTGTTTTATCGTTTTAGTCAAAATAAAAGATGAAAATAATAATTATTTGATATATATTATTATGTGTTATTATTATCTCCACTGTTAATCTAGAATATTTCTGAACAAATAAGTTTTTTTATCACATATTCCAAGCTGGACTTAAACGTGTTAAAAATGACAATGAATAGGTTCTATCAAAATAAAAGTCTTATCTCAACAAGAAAGTGGCAAGCATGGTTGTATCAGATCTTTGTGGTAAAAGATAAAAATTGTTCTGTGCATTCCCAACATATTTTATTTTAGCAATTCCACCTAACTGCTTTATCAGAGCATGAAACCCAACCATGACTGCAGTGCTATGAAGAAACATTGCTCTGTGCTCAAAATGTAATCGGAAGACTGTTCACATTTGTAGCTCTAATTTAGTTTACTGCCTGCAGGGTTTTTTGGTCCATAGCTTATAAGAAGTAAGTGAATGGAAATTTGTTAATTGGTTTTACTGATTTGCATTTTGCTTGGATTTGCATGGGCTTTGCCTTCAGTCCACTGTTTTTGGGAATGTCTAATCCTCGCAGTCACAGTATGAGCTAGATATGTCTTTATTTTCCCCTAACGTGACATCTATCAGAATGTGTTTGCCATGTTAGCATTTTTATCAGGTTAAACCAAAGGCATTTTGACGTAAACTCAATTTTTTTTTTTACTGTTAAGCTTTAATTATCTCCCAAATGAATAACAAAAAAGCTTAGCACTGTGCAAATATGACTTCTAATTGCAGTGTCTGTATCTATATTTGCAGAGGAGCTTAGTGGGTAACCTAATAACTTGGTTTTGATCTATGAGATAACAACACCATACTGGGGATCTTGTGCCTTTAAAAAGTTCAAAACACTGCAGTGTCAGATTCTGAGCAGCTGCTGTCACTGCAGGTAACAGGTAGTTTGCAACATAGAGGATTTGTGATGGTCTTGAAATTAAAGCTTTAAGGGGGGAAAACATTAAAACAAATCTCATCATTTTATTTTCCCTGGCCAGTTTTCTTTTAATTGTTCTACTACGCTGTCCAACCTGCTTCTGCAATGTCTAGGTTTTTCCATGATTACTAGACATTCGAGAAGCTGGTATTGCTGCTTCAAATACCTTCCCCTTTCCATAAGGTTGTCAGGTAATAAGCAAACAACTTGTACTGTGCACATTAACTTACAAAACATACAGTGTAGCTGTGGAAGGTGATCAGAGTTGAGAAAGAATGCATACATTGCTCAATGACCTACTTTAAATGTGGGTTAGAACAAGTGCTCTTTGTCACACTTAGAAAGCAGTGTATGGAGTAAAGAACCATCCAATAAAATAGGCTAATTCTGACACATCTATTTCTTTCGACTGTCCTTATCATTTGATACATTTGCACCTGTACAGTATTTAAAGAATTTTGCAATCACGCACACGCAAAAGAAACCGATATTTAATTAAATGTAATCTTGCACCTTCGTGAGATTGGATTGCTTTTTTATACTATGGAGCTCCAATAATTCCTTGCAGATCCCTACATTTACACAAGCCTGCTCTAGAGAGATTATATTAGGGGTAAAATGCAGAGGAAGCTGTCCCTTCATGTTATATCCTGCTGTCACTCAGATTGTAAGTAACAAACTAGGGTTGGGGCAGCACTGCACAGCCAAAAAGCAAATGTTTGACCTGAAACTTTCTGCAAGGCTGCTGTCTCTTTTAACCTTATGAGTAGCAGTGATCATTATATTATCGTCTGCAGGTAGTCTAGCTACTGTAGAATGACATGTGATGATAAGGTGAATAAATCTGTTATCGGCATGACACAAGGTGGGAATAATCTATACAGGTAATGGAAACTGGCTGATCCATATTGCCTGTAGCTATTACAAGAAGGGAGCCAAGCTGATTACAGGTTGGTGCTCCCAAGTGTAGGGAGGCTTTAAAAGAAATATAACATGACATCAAAATAAAATCAATTTTTACATTGCTTTATCACATTGTTTGAATCTCCTTGAATAAAGCATTCTTCCTTAAATTTCCTTTGATCTCCACAGGGGGCCTCTATGATAGCTGAAACGTAATGGTTCAGTCTAGCAGTCTGCTGGAATTCTCTTGGCAAGCACATATCTCTATGGTAGCAGATTGGAAAGGGAGGAAACATGGAAGTTTCTCAGGCCTCAAGCCTGCTAAGATAAATATACAACCCAGGAACTGCAACAATAGTAACACTTAGGTTAAATCAAAGAAATATGTTTTTCTTCCTGTAAGAATGAACACCCAAGTCAAACTCCTTTAGCAAAGCAAGGAATAACCATGAACAATGTCCCCAGGATGTGCAACATTTCAACAGTGTGGCAAATCATGCAAAACTGTTTTATTCCTTCATGACATCTACGTCACCATAAACTAAAAACGGGAACAGATTGCTGGCTTGAAGGAAATTTTATTTCCTGAATAAATGGAAAGGATTTAAAAAAGACAAATGAGGCAAGTGAAATTTTAGATGCCCTTTTCATGAAATACAATTTTGAGGAAAACAAGCCTACATTATGCATTTTTAGCTCAAGCTGCATTTCCTAATCTGGTATGGCTGCTGTAAATATATTTGATGAAATATTTTGAAATAATTTTGACAGCCTGACTCCTCCACATATCTTCCAGACTTGCGTCTTTTCACTGTGGATTCAGAAAATGACATTCTTCTAAAGGCCAGTGTGACTTATGACAGTTGTGCAGTATTCACTTCCTTTGGAGTCACTTCACAACAAATAAAAGAATAAACCACATCTCAATGTTCTGCCTTAAAACAAGATTTAATAAAAATAGACCCATCTGCTAACTAAAAGATCAGTACCTAAACACTAGTTCCTGTGGGGTAGAAACAAGCTACCATAAAAAAGGGGTCTGGAATTTCATACAGAAAAATAGAAAAGCCAAAGTTTTGATTTATTCTGAGACTCAGTCTGCCAAGATGCCTCAGAATTAGAAATCTCAGAACCTCTGAGTATATGTAATAGTTACGGTGTTGAGAGAGAAGTCAAACTGAAGCTGAAATCAAGATTCCTCCACTGAGTAAGGAAATAGAACAGGGAGAGGAGGGGAAAATTATACTCTCCTGATTTTGTCACTTAATTAATACAATTAATAAAAACCGCTTTAGTCCACTCCAACAGAATCCATATGGTTTGATTTACCGAAAAATGCACTGGCACAGCTTCTCAGGCAGAGCTGCATGTCTGGAAACAATTTTACAGGCTTACTTCACTTGTTCACATTGTGTTTAAAATTGACTGCTAGCAATGGAAGGGCAGCTTACATAACTCCATACTACAGTTCTCTTTTATTACCCCAGAACTGCACATCAGCAGAACATTTACACAATCCCTGTAAAACTGCCAGAAAGACAGCCCTGGATTTCAGCAAATTTAGTTCTAATCATAAACAAATCACCATCTTTTATCCTTTAGCTCAAATGAACATTTTTTATAATCTGTTAAAAAAACAGCACTTTTTATAATCTTATATCTTACGTCATCACTGCTTACAATGGTCTGCATTAAACGCCCAGGTTGTCATGGGTGCTTCTCTGTTTTCTAAATAAGATTTTAAAAGATGTTTTTCCAACACGGAAAAAAGAAAGATGTAGAAAGTTGTGACAAAACAGGTAAATATTTGGTAGGAAATACAGCACTAAAAGATCAGCAGGAGCACCCTGAGGATTCAATTCCATACTGTACAAGGTATGTGTCAAAATAAACAGGCTTTTGAGCTTAATGTGGTGGTGTGTCACCTTCACTAAATAAGATGCAGAAAATTGGATCAATACATTTACATTGTACACAACCACTTAGTTGTGCACAGTGTATAACTCCCCCTTTTGTTTGGAGAAATACTGTGGAAAAAGATTTGCCAAGTAACTCGTGCAATCCTGAAAGAGCAAGATTCTGACTGCAATGTTTGTCCTCTCAAGTAGTCCCTGATTCTGGCCCCTCACTAAGGGGTAACTCTGATGGTAGTGCATCAAGAGGCGGAAAAAAAAGAAACAAGAACCGAATGGCTTCTAACAAGCATTTATATGTGTGTAAAAAAGACTCATCATTGCCTATTTAAAAAACAAAACAAAAAAAACATTCTGAAACAAGAAGCTTTTTAGTATCTTCCAGTAACTACGCTCTGCGAAAAGTGTGTTTCGATTAGAACGAGTCAAACTACACAAGATAAATGTAGACCACTTTTCTGAGGCAATCTGCTCCCTCCACTTCCCCACCACCCCTATACTCTTCCAAAACAAACACGGAGAAGAAAAAACAGGCCTTTCAGAACCTTGTGCAAGCATGGGGGGGCAAATGTGTTTCGTCACATGATGACCCCTCCCTCCTCCTGCAATTCAAACAAATACAGCCTCACATTCATTCAGTGGTTAGCAAATGTTTATATGTTAAAGAAACACCACTTTTAGCTAAAAGGTAAGAGTGAATTCAGTTCCTGGTCTTTTTTATTGCATGAGATTATTCCTTCAGATATAAAAGGTTTCATGTTGCTGTTTTCTTCAGGGCCCTAATAAGGCTGGGCCTATAAACCAGCCTTGCAAAACACAAATCACCTATCCACAACACACAACCTTGCAGGGGTCAATTCTGTCTATCATTGTTTAACTCTATATCTGCCACTAATGGGAAAAAGCCTAGCTTTCATTACTCACCTTACTGTCACAGAAGAGAGATTTGCTTTGCAGGCAAAGAGCACACAACAATACAAAATACATTTAACGAAACATGAACCCATTATCAAATAAGAGATGTTAAGCCTATGAGGCACACTTTTTATTTTTTGAGAGGGAAGAACATATTTCAAAATCCAATAACAATCACCTCGAAGGCTCACAAACTCTCAGGTTTCTAAACCTCCAAAGCATTTTGGTGAATAGATCAATATTACATCGAAACAATTCCACAAAGTTCACGGTTCCTTTTATTAACAAAATATT